TGATGCGCGACTTCACGTTCTCGCGCGGCCCCAAGTTCGAGGAGGAGCCCGTCCGGGACAAGAACGCCTTCTTCCCGCGCCCCCTCAACGGCTTCCCCATGCGCGTCCAGGTCCGGGGCTGAGGCGCGCTGAGCACCAAGACTGACAGACTGAAAGCACGTTGTTTCTGCGCACGTGGTTGGCGCCGAGTCAAATTAAAGGACCTCTTCGACGTGCCGTGATATTTAACCTAAGTGTTTTGTTTGCACCTTTTTTGTGATGTTAAAGCATGTTAAGGCGCTAGATGACTGATGCCCAGAGCATGCTCGTGTGTACATATTTGCGCGCGCGAGTCTTTGTGAGTGTATGTGTGTGTGTTTTTTTTTTTTTTTGTTAGCCAGTTTGGACTTGTGCCAAACGGCGGAACATAGTCCTCATTCATTTGTCAGTTCATCTGTTCATCTACGTAATACATTTTATCTTAAAAGTCGCACATCAGTTTAAATCCCTGTCAATCCATAGAAACATTTTAAGTTTTTAAATAAAATCCACTAAGATTAAAGGTTGTTTTCCCTGCTGTTCTTTTTTCAGCTGTCCTAAATGAACTTTCTATTTTTACTCTTCGCCGATGGTCATGGCTTGAGCCGGCTTGCAATGACAGCCATCTCGCAGACACGCGACGGGCGCCTGAAGCAGACTGCGGTGGCCTCGGCGAAAATATAAACCACGACAATTCGCTGGACAGCGCGCAAAACAGCGTACGCGGCATCGGGAGCCCGAAGGCCCGCAGCACATGCGGTGGGTGGGCGCGACTAGTACAGTGGCGGGACTGTGAGCGCTTTGAGCAAAACATCCTAGCCCGTCCACGGCGTCCGCGAGGCGAGCATTCGGCCGCGCCAAGGCCGTCCACGCCACCGCTAGCCACCGCGCTCGCATCGCCCGCCGCCGGACCGCGCGCGCTGCACGCTCAAATTGCACATAATTGTATGATTTTCTGTCGCCTGGAAAGCATTGGACGACTCTGCGGTCCGTCCGGTGCGCCAGCTGGGGGCACTCGCACCGAGGGGGTGAGCAACCCGGTCGTGACCGTGGCCTCGCAGGACTCAGGCGTCGTGTCGACGACCCTCGCCGACTGGCCGCGGAGCGAGTTATCAGCCGCCCGCCGCGTGCCGCCTCGCCTCGCCGTCTCTCTCGCTCTCATGGGGCCTGCCGTTGGGGCGCGAGAGAGACAGGGCGATCCTTGAGATGTTTTCGATCCCCTGTCTCTCTCGCACTCGACGATCGAGCGGTAGTCCTTGTGCGGCCGGTACTTGTGGAAGAACACCGGCTTACTGGCTTACTGGCACCGGGCACGTGCTCTGAGGCCGGTGGCGGTGACGGGTGCACCGTTGCTGGGCTGCTGGGAGTCAACAAGGGATATTTCCGGAAAGCGCGCATATCGGGTGCGCGTAGCGTAGCGTTCTAGTCCTGCTAGTCCGAGTGGCGCCCTCGACTCCGAGCGCGTTCGCGGAACAGAGTCTCTTTCACTCTGCGAGGCGAACTCCCTCTGACGAGGCGACGTGCACACAAACCGGTTCGAACCCGAGAGGCCGGCGGGGCGGGGGTGGGGCGGGGGCGGCGGGCCCTTCCAGTGACCTTGGCGTGAGCCTGATTGGCCAGCCCCTTGTTGTCACCTCGGCCGGCTCGCTGGCACCAGGAGGCCGTCATCACGGCCCCCGGCGCCCTCGGCTCCTCGAAGAGCCCCGAGCCCAAGGATGTCGCCACTTCCGCCAAATCTCGCCCTTCAAACAGCACCGCCAGATTGAATTACGGCGCCCTGGATGCCGTCACCGCCGTCATCGGCAAGGGTGGCCGAGGGCCGAGTCGACGCGGTGACCTCGCCAGCCTCCCCTCGGGCAGGGTGGCTTCACCTTGTGGACGTCTCGGAAATTGCCAGGATCAGGAGGGCCGTAGACTCAGAGTAAGGCATGGATGCTTCTCGTTTCGTATGAAAATAGTTTTATTATTTAAATATGTACAAAACCTACTCGACGCGATTTTTCCCCTCTTTCATTTTGTGAAGTCAATCATAATGGTGCGGAGGGCGGACGTCTTTGCTCCGCGTTGAGTCATTTCTGGACGGACGGTCGGTCGAGCTCTCGCAAGGGCTTCTTGACCCGCTTGACCGTGATGGGCCCCGCCGGCCACGCCGGCCACGCCCCGCCCTGGCGGACACGCTGGCGGACGCTGGCGGACGTCCGAGACAAACAGCTGGGCTGCAATCTCCACTTACAGTATTATTTTTGTCTAATCTGCAGGACCTCTCGACTCTCAAGTACTTCGCCCGACACACCAATCACATCGGCGCCGGCCATTCCTATTCGAAAACACCCACTCACACAGAGGGACACTCACCAGCACGCACACACACATACATGTCCATTTTCCCGACCTGCCTTCCTCGTTTTTAAAGCAGTCAACTTTTGCGTCCCCGCCACTGACACACGCAGGGTCACTCTGACGTCAGTACGTGAGCGCGGCTGGGGTTCTGGTGCGGCCAAAGTGGGAGTCTCGTGAGGCGCCGGTCTCCCGGCCCCTCCCTCCCCGCGCGATGGCGGCTTCCTCGACGGCTTACTCGGTGGCCCACTCGACGGCCTTCTCGACGGCCTACTCGGCGCGCTGCTCGACGCGCAGCCAGAAGCCGCCCTTGGGCGTGGGGGAGAAGGAGCGCGAGTCGGTCTCGATCTCGACGGCGGTCTTGTCGCCCACGACGAAGTGGTGCTTGTCCAGCATGCCGGCCAGGCACAGCTTCATCTCCAGGATGGCGAAGCGCTCGGCGATGCAGAAGCGTGGGCCCTCGCCGAAGGGCAGGTACGTGTACGGGTGCCGCTGCGCCTTGCTCTCCTCCGTGAAGCGCTCCGGGTCGAAGCGCTCGGGGTCCGGGAAGTACTCCGGGTCGTGCGCCATCTGGAAGACGGGGATCCACACCATGCAGGTCTTGTCCACGACCGCCTTGGTCTCCGGCAGCTGCGGGGAGAGACATGAGAGTGAGCGACATGGAAGCCGAGAGCAGCGTGCAACCCGTTGGGGCGGGACTCACCTGGAAGGGCTCCTTGGGCTCGCGGGTGAGGATGCCGACGGGGCCCCACTTGCGCAGCGACTCCCGGATGATCCTCTCGATGAGGTCCATGTCGCGCAGCGCCTCGTACGTCAGCCCGCCGTGCTTGGCCTTGAGGGCGCGCACCTCCTCGGCGGCGCGCTGCTGCAGCTCGGGGTTGAGGGCCAGCTCGTGCAGCGAGAAGCCCACCGTGTTGGCGATGCTGTCCAGCCCCGCGATGAAGAACAGGAAGGCCTGGGCCGCCATCACGTCGCTCGTCATCTCGATGTGGTTCAGGCGGTCCGTCACGTGGCGGTCCTGGTCGCGCAGCTGCATCATCAGGTTCACGAAGTCGTTGCGCTCGATCTTGTTCTCCTCGCGGTACTCCACCGTGTCCTTCATCAGGTTGAGGAAGAAGTTGGTGCACTTGGAGAAGAGCTTCTTGAAGGGCATCAGCTTCATGAAGATGGGGTGCACGGACACGAGGAAGAAGCGGATGATGAAGAGCAGGTTGCGGTTGAACACCTCGCGCGTCATGGTGTGGAACTCGGCCTTGTCGTTCTTGAGCGAGTTGCACTCGATGCCGAACGCCACGGTGCCGATGACGTCGGTGGCGTAGCGCAGCAGCAGGTCCTTCATCTCCACCTGCCCCTTCTCGCCGGTCGCGGCCAGCTGCGTCAGCGCGCCGCTCAGGTCGTCGGTGAGGTCCGCCATCAGGGGGAACATGAGCTTGAGCTTGCCGGACGTGAAGGTGGGGCTCAGCTTGGAGCGCAGGTTCTTCCAGCGGGGGCCCTCCAGGTTGAACAGGTTCAAGCTCATGGGGTCGTTCTCCTCGTCGATGGGCTGGCCGCGGCCGTGGAACGTCGAGAACTCCTTGGTCAGCACCATCTTGACCATCTCGGGGTCCAGCACCACGAGCACGGGCCGGCGCGCCTGGAACATGCCGACGTAGGCATGCTGCTTCTTGTACTTGTTGTAGATGGGGTCCAGGATCTTCCAGAAGCTCTTGTTGAACGGCAGCCCGCCGCCGCGGTCGCCCGTCAGCGACAGCGCGTTGACGGAGGGGATGCCGCGCTTCTTCCAGTAGTCGAAGTGCCAGGACATGTAGACGCAGACGAACGCCACGAGGGCGGCCGTCAGGGCCAGCACCGCGGTGACGAGCATGGTGCAGGTAGTGCCTCGGTTGGGCGACGGGTTGTTACTGAGCCAGCGGCTGCTATATAGCCGTCGGACGACGAGATGCATTGGATTCAATGTGAGTCACGCCCCCCTCCCTTACTCCTCCTTGCCCCCTCCCTGCCTCCTCTCTGCCCCTTCCTTGTCGCCGCGGTTCGCGAGGCGCCCGCAAAAGCCGCCATGCCGTCAAGCCTGTCCGGATTGGTCCGGACAGCCGGCGGCGCGCTGATGTAACTCTCCACGTGTGTGAGTGTTTTGTTTGTCTGATCCACCGCTCCCCAAAAAGGTGCTCCTTGATAACTGGCCGACGCTTATCAGCGGCCGCGGCCCTTAGCCGGTACCAGACAGTCATTGAGGTCGGGGAAACGCTCGCTTTCTTGCAACATCATTTCGCCGGAAGCGATGGGCCCACGACAGCCGAGCCGAGCGGAGCGCATTTTCCCGTCTGTGTGCATCATGCCTGTCTTGATGTCGTGCCCGAAGCGCCGGCCGGAGAACACGGTGTGCAAGCAGGCAGTCGGTGGGGCCCTCTCCTCTCCAGGCTCCAGTCCACTCCAGTCCCAAAGCCAAAGCCCGCACGGCACGGCCGGGCGCGCTGGAATCGTGGCGACGTAGAGGAGAGGAGTGGGGGAGCGGGTCAAATATTGACCTTGAAACCAAGCCCGGGCCCGGGCGTCGCGTCGGTCGCGTCGCCACTACTCGCCAAACAATAACAAATTGGAGGTGGGGGAGGGAGCGCGGAGTACAGCTGTACTCGGCGGAGCTGGAGCCTGCGGGAGGCCTGGGATGGGAGACTCCGCGCCTTTCCACCAGCTGGTTGGTCTCCAATTAAACGCTTGACCGTACCGTCAAGGTCCCAAGGACACACACACATACTCACAGCCAGTCAGCTCTGTGCCACGACTGTTACAAGTGGACGCAAGGGCTTTGAACTTTGCGGATGCGCGCGGCCCGGCCACCGAATGGTCCTTCCCTGGCGTGGCGGCGGGGCCAAAACGGCAGGCCGACGCCGTGCTGTGCTGTGCAGTGACTGCGGTGTCGGGCGGGGAATTTGGAGTGGAGCGGCGTGCGTGGGCATGCCCTGGAGGACGGCCTGCCGTCGGCCGGTCACTGACTCCCCCGCCAGTGGGGCGGGGAGAGGGACGCGGCCCACGAGCCCAAGGAGGGACGCATTGTCGACGGTCAGCGCGCCGGCCAGCCGTCGGCCTGTAACATGCCCAATGCCCAGCAATGTCCCCCGTACTCCCCCATGTCGTCCACACTCCCAAAAACACGACTTCTTTCACCCATCCTTGTCACTTTGCGACTCGCTTGCCGCCTTCCTTTTCACACATTTTGTGCTTTGCTTGTTCGCAGGCTCCACGGCTCGTACGAGGCCCTCAAGTACGGCACGCTGCTGGACGGGCTGGCCGACCTGACTGGCGGCATTACGGAGAGCATCTCCATCCGGCAGGACCCCACGCACTGCAGCAGGCTGCTCAGCAAGCTGCTCGACATGACGTCCCTCATCACCTGCACGGTGCACGCGCCCCACGGACAGGTATGGGCCGCTCTGTCCCTCTCGCACCCATACGCGCCCCGTGCGTGCGAGAGAGACAGGGTGAGCCAGCCGCGCACCGAGGCTGGCTGCAGCTTCAGCGGCGCCGCCAACCTCGCCTTACATCCGTGACCCTTCCCAGGTGCGGAACCAGCCCGAGAAGCTCGCCAACGGCATCCACATCGGCACCAACTACAGACTGTACGCCGTGGAGAGGGTGGAGACGCGGGGCAGCGAGGCCGTGCAGCTCGTCAAGCTGCGCCACCCGCAGGGCGCGGCCGACGTGGTGGGCGCCTGGTCCAGGGACTCCCAGCTCTGGGACGACCTGGCCGCCGTGGAGAGGGACCGCCTCACGGGGAAGCACCTCGGCGACGGCGAGTTCTGGTGAGTGCAGTGTGCTGCCCGGCAAGCCTTCCGCAGCCTCCACCGTCCACTAACGCGCCTCGCCTCTCCGCTCCCTGCAGGATGTCCTACTCTGACTTCGTCAAGACCTTCTCCCACCTGGAGGTGGTGCACCTGGACTCGGACACGGCGCGCGACGAGCCCTCCCTCCACCACAAGAACACCTGGCAGATGCGGCTGTACCAGGGCGCCTGGCAGCGGGGAGTGTCGGCCGGAGGCTGCAGGAACAACCCAGGTACTGAGGCGTAAGGCGGGCGGAGCGCCTGTGCGATAGGCACGCCCGCAACGCTTGTGTGCGTTGCATTGCCTACCCTGAGTTCGCAGGGGCTCGTCCCGCAGACTGATGTGCTTTTCTCGGAGTTTCTGGAGCGCCTACGTAACGTCCATCCCTCTTTTTCAGAAACATTCCACATCAACCCACAGCTCCACCTCATCCTCTGCGAAATGGAGGAGGTCATCATCTCCCTGAACCAGCACAGCATAATGGAGCCTAAGGTACGACCTCGAGAACCGTGCAACCCTCTTTCGACACGGGTGTTCTACTGGCCACTACAAGTACTTTTCCACTTTAATATATTTTTTTAAATTTTTGTTAGGTTATTGGCTTTACGGCATACTCACTTCCCAAAAGCGGCTCTGAAACTATTGGGAAACAGTTCTTCAAGAAGAACAAATCACTTGTGAACTCGCAGTACACAAATAGTAGACAGGTAAAGCCAATTTATTGGAAACAACGCTTGTGAAAAATATGTAAATCACTTTGGTTTGAAACTGCAAACACACCTTTTCTTTTTAAAGGTATCACACAGATGTCAACTGGAACAAGGGGGCTACCTCGTACTTCCCACAACATTTGAGCCAGGGCAGGAATCCAGCTTTACTCTACGTGTGTATTCCAGCAAACCTCTTAAATTAAAGTAAGTTGCCTTCAACTTGTCAAGACATTCATAATATATTCTATCTTTGCTGAACTTATTTTTGTGACAATTCCAATTCTAGGTTGTTGGACACTGTTCCATCTTTAGTCAAATCAGCAGTGATAAAGGTATGCCAGTGAAGCAAGGTTCTCTGTTCTTTCATTAGATTTATTGAAATCAGTGTTGGTGTTATCTTATACCTGTTGGTTTCGCTTGTCCAAAGGCTCCAGCAACATTAGATGGGAAAAGCTTCTCACAGTATGAGGCTGTATTTCTACAATTGGCTGATGAGCACAGAACTGTTAATGCATTTGAACTACAAGAGTTATTGGACGCCTGTTTGCCCAATGGTGATTGAAAAATTATTTTCATAATCAAAGACTCCCTCCATTAGATCACTGCTGTTGAATGTTGTAACAAATATATTTAAATTTACAGACTACATAAAAAGCTGTGCGTGCATGGAAGTCTGCCGACAAGTTGTCATGTCACTTGATGTATCCTTTAAACAACAGAAATTTTTTTTTGTCATTTTATTTTTATGTGACTATACTTAATTATTGTTTTATTTTTGTAGTTTTTAAAATGTTATTCGTACCTCTACTATCCTTAACTTATCGCAGAGTACTGGTTCTGGACGATTAAAACTCAGTGATTTCAAGGATTTAATGTGTAGTCTCAAGCACTGGCAGTCAGCTTTCAAAAACCATACGAGGGAGAAGACAGGAATCTTGAAAGCAGAGAGACTGAGGGACGCTTTGTTAGAAATTGGTGAGTGTGTCACTTGAAGTATTTTTGAGAGTGTCTTTTAAAAGATGTATTTTAAAATATTTAAACTGTCTTTTAGGTTTCCAACTGAGCACTGATGTTCTCTCTATTCTTATACTGCGGTACATGCGTAAGGATGGGACTCTCCGATTTGGAGATTTTGTGTCAGCAATTTTACACCTTAGTGTAGCGTTCAGTAAGTTTCAACCCACTTCATGCAAATTTTATGACATAACTCCTTTTGTTTCTTTAATGAGAGTTTCTTTATAGATATTTTTGAGTCCAAGGACCCTCTTCAAAATGGTAGTGTGAAGATGAGTTTGGCAGAGGTATGCTTTCCATATCATATGTAGGATTCAAAAATTGATCTCCACACCACATGTAGGTGTAAACAATTAATTGTGTTTCTTTGTTTCTGCTTTCAGTGGCTGAAGTCATCTTTGATGTGCTGACTTTCCTGCTCCTCCTTGTGAAGTATAAATTTGTCTGCTATTTTGTGGTGACATCATAATAATAACCAAACATGTACCTGCTTAAGAAGTCATGACTGGTGCTAATCCGAAGAAATTACCATAGTTTGAGAACACATTGAATAGACACTGACGACATGAATCACTAATTGCTTGAGTTCACTATCAACAAAATTGTAGAGCCAATATTTGGAGTTTTTGTAAGGTATGAGTTTAAAGACCGTGTAAAAATACTAGCTCTCTTCAGTAAGGAGGTTCATTACTATTCATGATATTAATAAATTAAACAATGAAATTTTGTAGTTTGAAAATTGTACAGCAAAATGAAACAGTCAAAGGAATAATAATACTATGTAAGAGTTTTTTTTACATTTTCTGTTGAGCATAGTTTTTCCTAGGCTGATGTATAAAGTGAAATACTATTGCATATCAACTAAAATAATATTGATGTAAAAATTGTAAATATATTAGGAGTTTCATAAATTATTTTGTATTTTAATTTTAGGTCAGTCATTTGCAAGTCATCATGTTGTAACTGCCTCTAGTACGTGTCATAACTACCACATGTACAAAAAGGCATTAGTCAGAACGCCATTAAGTGTTCCATTAACACGGAAACGGAGACCCAACTCCCATGTATCAATTCTGTAATTTAACATCTTATGTAATATAAAGCTTTATTCATCAAGTTAAGTGTACACTATATGAAGCTTTTTATTTAATTGTTTTGTACTATATGCTCAAATTTGTTTGGACAGTGACTGAGTGTTTGTGCTTTGTACAAATTGATCAAGTAACGTTAAATAAAAGAAGTTGTTTGGAGAAAATAAAGCCTGTCCTTTTGGATCCCTCTAATGCATCATTACAGTAAATATTGATGGCACCTCACATACATACTGGACAACGAGACTGGAGGAAAGACCTTCAAAGAGGGAAGTCAATTTGATGGACCACTTGAAATGGGCGCCTAGTTTGCACCAACCTATCTAACTGAAGGTTGCGCTCGAATTATACTGTTTAAAGTAAAGACTTCCCAAAAACATTTAAAAATTGAGAAATTTCCTCAAGTGGCTTTACAATCAAACTCGAAGTGGAGAGGGTTTTCTCCCTTTCGCTTTCCAATCCGCAGTTTCTTTGCTGTCAATCTTTTTTCTGTGAGGTGGCGGCATTTAGCTGCAGTGCTGCCCTCTAGAAAGTTCTCGAACTACCAGTCGTCAGTGTTTTGTTTTCGACCCAAATACCACCGCAGTCAGATGTACAATATGTTTGACATGCTTTCCATTGGCGAAGTTATCTTACCAACTTTCAAGTTCTCCTCCGAAAACATTTAAACTCTAAAAATATTTTCATCCATTTTGGAGCTTAAAAATTTTGCTTGGAAAGCCTCAAAATTTGTTACCAGTCGCTGGGCTCCACCGTCACCGTCCGCCATTTTCCGAAGCATCATTTAGCTCTCCGCTCGTTGACTTTTAGCTCTAGCCCACGCTTTTCAAACAAGATGATCCAAGAAAGAGTATTTTCTTGTTAGGTACGTCATTTCATACGTTCTTCGTGAGCTTCTAATGTCTAGTTCGTGGTAAGTTGCTAGTAACAAGGCGCCAGTAGAAGGAAAGGAGCTGCGGCTGCGGTCATCGAGGTCTTTGTTGACTACATTCCGAGACCACTCGGCACTTTCGTCTTTCTCAGCAAATTGCCTTTATCGCTTCATCGAGACGCAAGTTGTTAATCGCTGTTCGTGAGCTCTACGAATCGAAGCGTACATTAGTACTGTCAGAAGTCATTTGTTTGTTTATCAAGGCCCTTACAAGGCTTACTGGTGCAGTCAATCCGTAAAACCGTCTGTCATTCTCAGAGTCAGATCAGAACACACTCACGTCGGCTGAGTATTGATTCCACCATATTGGCATTTCTTGTGCACGACTTTCAAATTTTTAATATGGTCCTAAACCTCCAATGACCTGACACTTTATTTTTGTCTGCCATGCACCTTGATGCATTAGTAGTGGCCTTGGAATCAGTCATGTGACCTGCATTGCTGGTAGTAGAGTACTGAAAATGTGTTTCTCTAACTTGTTTTCAGATTTTTCTTATGCATACGGATGTAATGTGAAAAGGTGAATGCACCTATGGATGCAATTGTATGGGAAGATTTTCTCAGCTTGCGGTCACTTCAGGACATCAACTCTACGCTACGCTATTTAGGGTGTCATCTTTGCAGATGATCAGTTTCTACATGCTGGTAGTTGACGAAAGAAGAGGAACCTAGAGAACTTGACCCGATAAGGTAAAAGAGTAAGCAGTGCTTCCGTCTGTCCCAAACTGATTCTCCCTATAAACCAACTTATTTTCAAGTTAAATTTGTTTTTAAATCAGACTCAGACCCTTATATCTGACAGACTTATTCGTATCTGGGGAAGACATTATTTCATCATGACTTTCTTATGAACACACAAAAAAAGGATATTTTTAACTGAAGAGAGGTTTTTTTGCTCCATCAGGGTGTTTCTTCATAACTTGAAATTTTAGTTTGTTCGGAACTGTGAGAGTGCCAGAGGTCCGTTTTCTTATCTTAAACACATGAAAAATTTCAAATGTGTTCCAGACACACTGAGATGAATGTGTGGCATTGGTGATTTGACTGCGGCCTGCACCAATGCTGTGTCCAGATTAATGCTCAAATGTACAGGTTGATAGTGCCACTCTGCACAAGGTACAACTCTACTCGCACTTGGGAGGGTGCTCAGCTAGCCTCTAGAAGGGATTCCATGGCTGCTTCAAGGAAAATATCTGCTGGGTAGGAGTTCAAAGACTTGATTTGCTTGTAATGTGTGTTAAAATTGCACTCAATGCTGTAGACTCAGAGAAAGTTTGCCTGTTTATCTCATTTAACTTGCAAGTTGAACACGCTTTGGGGTATTGTATAATATTTGAAGAGTCAACTACTCATTTTTAGTGAGCCATGAGGAGTGCCAAAGATGTTCTCACGAACTGAACAGAATCAATTTCTGTCCAAAGTTTGATCACTGTGCAAGACTGAAATTTGGTTAGTCTCCTGCAAGCATTAGCCAGAAAACTACACCCTCATCCTGATCACTGACAGGCTCCATCCACATTCAACACTTCTTTTTTCCTCATCTTTTTCTATTGGTTCTTTAAGCGGGTTACTCCTCTAGGACATTGGCATTCTCTACAGCCCTCTACCCATTTTTTTTTTTTATCAAGATCATCACAACACGAAGGGAGACCCTTTGTAGAAGTGCTTTTTTGGGTGTTGGTGCACCAGGTGTTATCTGCTTGGGACCTGACTGGTGATATCTCCTTTGCGGTGCTCCTGCTGATCGCTTTTGTATGCTCATCGGGTGAAACCAGCATCCATCAAGGTAGGACATCGATATCCTGCTGCTTGTCTCTCATCGGGGCCCTTTGCCATGTCGTATGGCTTGGCCTCGATAAAGATGCAGCATCTCAGCATACTGGGGGATTGTGGGAGAAAATTATTTTCACTGCAGAAGTTTTTGTGTCGAATGAGTTTCTCTCCGCTTGTTCAATGTATGAGCCTGGGTGGTTTCAAACATTGGTTGTTGTCTTAGCGATTTGATAATATTCCTTGATCACTTGAGTGGGGGATATTCATCAGTTATTGTTAAAACGAGATAGTTCCCTTTTTATTCTTCTCTTCGCTTCCTGATACATTTACCTCTGTGCGAGATTCCAACACACACAGACCGACAAAAATTCACCAAAAACACATTTTTGGCACCTACAACAGGCGGCACTGGCATCCCCAAGGAACGGCAAGGTGCAACTGTTTTGTCGCGAGCTTCCATCAACCTCCTGCAGTGAGACAGCTGTTTCTTGCGCTGCTGGGGCAGCGTGAGTTTTTTGCAGTGTTCCGTCGGTGCCCAGGGCCCGGCTGTGCTGGCCGTGCTCCGCGACTGACGTCGCCCGACCGTCGGCCTGGAACCAGCACTGCCAAACTTAGCGGCCCTGCACGGCCCTGCCCGGCACGGCCTCCGCCCCCGCGACAGGCAGCTGTCGCACAGACACAAGAAATTAGGGCCGGGAGTTGCGGAGCAGCCTAAAGCAGCGCGTTACGGTGGGTCCAAGGAAGAGTGCGGCACCCACGCCTCGGACGCGCTGACGCGCTCGCGTCCGGAACGATTTGGAACGCCACCAGCCGCCGCCCCAACGCCCCAGCTCGGGTGGGGGGAGGGGGCGATGGTCGCGCTCTAGAGGCACCGGGGCCGCGACTGGCCGGAATGCTGCTCTGCCGCCGAACATCAGACTGTGAGAGGTGCACATTCGGTGTCGCTGAGTAGCATTCCGGACTGTCGCGGACTCGGTGGACGCGAGACGCGCGAAACGCCCTCGGAACCTCGATTGTTGCGTACTGCCGGCCTGGTGGGCCTGGTGGGCCTAATGTCCGTCCGCTTGGTCGCGGCGTGCCGTGCCGTGCCGTGCGCTATCGTGGGACACGCTGCCGCCGAGCTGCCACGCCGTGCCACGCTACCACCGAGCGCCGCGGTGCGGGCCGTGGACCAACACGCCCACCACCAAGGCGGGGGCCTGGCCGTGGAGCCCCACAGGCCACCACGGGCCTCGACGCCGCCCCGCCCCCCGTCGGTACCCGTCAGCCCGTCGCCCCAGGGGCGCGTAGGGCGCGGGGCGAGTCAGTCTGAACACCTCACGTGGTGCTGTGCGGACGCACGGCGCCTCTAGATCCTTTGTCCAGTCGTGAAAGGAGCTTGCGGGCGCTCCGCGAAAGTTCCTGATGGTTGTGGTTCATTTTGCTGTGATCTCGAAAATTGTCGAAATTTTAGTGTTTTCCTTGATTTGGTTTTTGTACAAGTTTCCAAATCACCTCAGACAGCTGACGAAATCACTTCAGCAGATTTTATCCTAAGACATGAAATCATTGCGTACCAAATTAATGAGGTGTCACTTGCACTAAAGATCGGCAGCAGACTGACCTCAGAGCTGCCCCATTAATTTCAAATTTTAAATTGTACTCATTACTTTGGTTCTTTTGTGTTGGCTCGTTCGCCCTATTTTATTGCGCTAAATAATCCGTATTGTGGTAGGTAGGCAGGCGACCAAGGCATGCGATGGCTCGACGCCCCGTTCGGCTCACTGCCATTTCTGAGCCACTCAGGAGTGCCTCGCAGTCTGCGACAGTGAAATTGATCTCGGCGCCGGACCCTGATCCTTCCAAACTGGAAATCAAGTTCTTCGCTCGTGAAAAAATATAGTGGCTCTGGGACTGGAACAGGAACAACTGCGTTAGGATCTGCTTCTGCGACTTCTATGAATGCTCTGCGAAGCACCGTGGATCAAAACAGAGTCCCTGCTCGGACGCAGTGCTCACCACCGGCACCTCCCTCTCAAGACACTCCTGGAGACCGAGTTCGAGTGTCTTTAGACGTGGCGGAAACAATCTTCTCCATTCCACTTTTTAAATCAGATTTTTTTTTTGCACTATTTTAACTTTTCTTTCCTAAAACCCCTGATTTTTTGGTTTGGATTAAATTCCTCTATTGGCCTCTGAAATGGAAATTCTAAAATCAAAGGCGCATCAATTTTTTTTTGTTGAGGGGAGGGGGCTGAAATATTAATCTTTCTGTGAAGCAGGTGACACACTTCGGGGTGACAGAAATATCTGGCCTGGTTTACCTGACCAAAACTGGTCAGATTTGTCTGGTCTCTTCCCGGTCGGAGGTGTCGCTGATATTTGGCCATGCGCCTCATTTTTTTTTAAATTCCTGGAGACCATACTTAGCGTCTTCAGTTAAAATTAGGTCTCGATACGTTTTCCACGCCTTAGAAGTACGTGGCAGGTTTGGCAAGCTGGACGTCAGGATGCGGGGAAACGATGCGTGTGCTGGAAGGTAGCGCGGCGACGCTCGGTTCGCTCGCGACGCGCTCTCATCGACTTGCATCGACCCGCTCACTGTCAACAATGACTGGGGCGTGGACTGGACACTTGGAGGACGCCCCCAAGGGGAAATCACTTTGAATTTCGGTGTACAAATTCAATGAATTTCAGTCGAATTTCGATGGATTTCAGTCATATTTTAGTCAAAATTCGATAAATCTATGTCAAACTTCGATAAATTTTATTAAATTTTGATGAATTTTGGTAAATTTTTAAAGTTTAATGAATTTTGGTGCACAAATTTAGCTGGAGTTATTTCCCCTTGGACGCCCCTCGGCCCTCCCCTCCCTGGCTCCCCCGCACCTCTCGGAGCCTTAGCACATATTAGATGTAGCTGCGATCCTAAGTTGCAACTTTCAAAATTAATTTAACTTTGGACCTAGTAAGCTTTAAAACACGAAACGTTTTCCTTGATTTCATAGTATGTTGGCATATTTTGTTTGTTAATCCTCGCAAAATAAGACTTGCATTCATTTTATTTTTCAATCAATTTTTTTTAAGACCTAGTTGAAGATTCTTAAAACCGAAGTTTGCTCGAAATCGTTTATTCTCAATCAGGCTTCCTCGCCTCCTCTCTGAAGTTCCAAAAGTGCCACGGCGGCGCTGCCTGCCGGCCGGCGTCGACGGGCGTCGAACCCGCGGCCCCGGCCGGCAGGTCAGATGCTGGCCGTGCCGGCGGGCCTCGCTGTGGGCGGCGCTGGCGGTGCTGCTCGAGGGCCCCGCGGCCCCGCGCGGGGGCGTGCGGTGCGCCGCGTGCGCCTCGTAGATCAATAGCGGACGCCATCGGGCTGGCGCTGGCACCGGCGCGTTTGAAGAGGACAGCCGCTCGAGCGGGCCGAACCGGCGGGCAGCGGGTCGGTGGCGCCCTGGCGGGTCGCTCGCGGCGCTCCCGTTGCCGAGCCTTGTGGCACCAACCAACCGATTGGACACGGCATGCCTTGATCAGAAGGACCTGAATCGCGCAGACCGGCTCAACTCCAGCTTCAATCCCGTTCCGCACATTTTGACACGACCAAGCCGAGAGGAACCAGGGTCCTGTTGCGGTCAAATAACGTTGCCGCGAACTTCCCGATGTCGCGGTGGCTCAGTGGTAGGCCACCAGGGCTGGGGTCGCCGCGGTTCGCGTTCACCCGCCCTTGCCTCCGACTTGGACCTCGCCGCTGAGGAAAGGCACCCAATGGTGGGTTTCGAGTTCTCTCTGTCGGTCGGCTGCCTAAAGTTTAATCAGATGGAATTCTCCAACGCCAGTGGACACCTGGTAGGCCCCTGGGCTGCTGTCAGGCTCAGGCGGGGTCGTTGCCTATCTCTGAGACGAGGGCCGCCTGGGCGGTAGGCAACCCTGCGTCACGCCGACACGGCGCGTTGCCTACGCCGCAGGCAACCGTCATGCATTGCCTTCTCAGAGTAGCCCGGGGCTGTGCAGTAAGCAACCCTCTCTTCGCTGGGTGGTAGGCAAGCATACATCACGACGCGCTGCCTAAGCACATACACTGGGAGAGGCAACCCAAGTCCTGTCGGATCGGCGTGTTGCCTATGCCGAGGCCCATGGTCGGTTGGCAACCCTACGTTTTGTCCGATCGGCGCGTTGCCTATGCTGAGGCGGAGGCCCCTGGACTGTAGGCAACCCTACGTCTTGCCCGATCGGCGCGTTGCCTAGGCTGAGGCGGAGGCCCCTGGACTGTAGGCAACCCTACGTCTTGCTCGATCGGCGCGTTGCCTAGGCTGAGGCGCTTCCCACTGCCGACGCAACTGTGTTCCCGGAAAGCAACGCTGGCGCGGCGCTTCGCTGCGGCACTAGGAGAAAATCCAGCACGCGTGCTTTGAAGCAAGGGATGACACACAGAGCAGCCATTTTGCCAGTTTTTCGAGTGAACGGTAATCCTCTTTTGAGAGCGATGCGTGGCTCGACTGACTGAATTTGGCCAATTTGAAATATGCTCGGGTTCAAATATATTTATATACCTTGAATGGGTTTGGATGATTGAGTCCATCAGAATCTTCTGACTACAGTGGTGAAAGGTCCAACGACACCCTGAATTCTCATGCACTTGAGTTATGTTCGATTTTGCATTTGCGTAAGCCTTTGTGTGATTCACGTTACTGCGTAACATTTTATACAAGAGCTTACGCATGTGCCGAATCGTGCGTAACTTGCGTTCAAAATGTGTGAAATGCACAGGAACTTTTGGAACATCTACATCGTTTTAGGAAGACGAGGGGCTTGCTTGAGTCTTTTGCACAGTGTGTTCGTGTGTGTGTGTGTCACAACCACACCCGTGCTTCGCGTGTCGCCGCACTGCACGAAAGGGGTTCGTGCATGCACCACGTGACCCGGTTAGAGGTCCGCAAAGAGACACGTACCTATCTTAAATACATGGGAAGTTTAGGTTATCCAGGTCACAGAGGGGGGTGGGGGACTGAAGGTGGCCTATTTTTGGTTCACGTGGCTTATGCACGACCCCTAGTCCTCGGTCGGTGGGAAATGAAAAGACTATCTTTGCGCGCGCCCCGGCCACACGTTCGCTGTCGACGCGCTGTCACTCTCGCACTCGCACAGGCTGGCCATTAGTGAAAAGGGGGGGGGGGGCGCTTGAGACGGCGAGGGAACGTCGCGTGGAATATCTGCTGGGGCGCGGGTTATCGACGGGGCTGTTTCTTTTTTCAACGACAGCACTGGACATGACCTGGGGTATTGACGGGTTTATTCTTTTCCACCGACAGCACTAGGTATGACCTGCACGGGGTATCGACGGGGCCATTATTTTCCACCGACAGCATTAGACATGACTTGCACGGGGTATCGACGGGGTCATTCTTCTCCACCGACAGCACTAGACGTGACCTGCACGGGGTATCGACGGGTCATTCTTTTCCGCTGATGGCTCTAGACTTGACCCAGGCTGTGCCTAACGCCCGGTGTGCCTTCTCTGGCGTGTTGCAGTCGTGACGACAAGATGAGTGTCATCATCAGGCTGCAGAACCTGCCGTGGTCGGCCAACTCGGTCGACATACGGCAGTTCTTCCACGGACTCAACATCCCCGAGGGCGGCGTGCACATCGTGGGCGGCGACAAGGGCGACGCCTTCATCGCCTTTAGGTGAGTCGGCGAGGCGGCCAGCGATCAGTTGGCATCAACCCATTGAGAAGTGAGGGGGGTTAGTTTGGAATAACGTTTTGAACGGTCTGTCCCGACAGCACGGACGAGGATGCGCGCCTGGCCATGATGAAGGACGGCAGCATGCTCAAGACGGAGAAGGTGCGGCTGCTGCTGTCGTCGCGCACGCAGATGCACCAGGTGATCGAGGAGGCCCGCAACATGTCGCAGCGCATGGCCCTGTCCGCGGCGGAGCACAGCCCCAACGCCCTGGCGCCCTCGGCCAGCCCGTCGCACGCCCTGGGCCAGGGCCTGGGCCAGTCCATGCAGGCCGGGCCGCAGCAGACGCCGCTCGCCGCCGCCCAGCAAGCCCAGGCCGTGGCGGCCCTCATGCAGATGGCGCAGATGCCCGGACTGGAGAACGTGCTCAACATGCCCGCCCTGGCCAGCCTGGCGCCGGGGCTCGCCCCTCTGCTTCAGCCCATGGCGCAGAAGGCGCCTCAGCAGACACCCGCTCATGGCATGGGCCCCGGCTTGGGCCAAGGCTTGGGACAAGGCATGGGCCCCGGCATGGGTCAAGGCTTGGGCCCAGGTTTGGGCATGCCCCTGAGACAGGGCCCCGCTGGAGCCGGCGGCCCTCATGCCGGCCCTCATGGAGGCCCTCATGGAGGCCCTCATGGAGGCCCACACGCAGGCCCTCACGGCGGCCCGCAGGCCCTCGACGACACGGACGCGCGCCAGGACGCGCGCAAGGACCGCAGGGACCGGTCGCGCTCCAGGGACCGGAAGGACCGCAAGAGGGGCGGCCGACGCGGCAGCAGGGACCGCAGCCGAGACCGCAGCCGTGACCGCAGCAGGGACCGGAGTCGCGACCGCGGAGGACGACGACGACGTCGGTCCCGGTCGCGCAGCAGGGACCGGCCGGACCGGCGCCGCAGCCGCGACGGTGTGCGCGACGCAGCCAAGCCAGAGGACACCAAGCCCGGGCCGCTGCTCAAGACCCCCGAGCTGGGGCCTGACGGAAAGTGGACTGTGCAGCCGAGTCAGCGACTCGCCGGCAGCGCCGTGCCTACACCCGTGCCCGCTCCGGTGCCTCCGCCCGCCCCGTTGCCGGTGCCCGCGCCCGCGCAGGACCAGGACAGCCGCGGCGGCATGGGAGCCATGCCCATGATGATGTCGGGGCCAGCCGGCCAGGACGCCGCCAGGGGAATGCTTCCCATGGCACGCATGGGCCCGGGGGGACTCCGCCCCTGGATGGGACAGCCCGACGGGCCCAAGGACGTCGACAGCCGTTCTGCTGACAGGGAGGCCGACTTCTTCGGGGGAATGGGCGCTCGGCGGGGACCTCCCGGCCCCTTCAACGGCGCCATGGCGCCGAACGGCGGCCCCCTCCCCAACGCCCCCGCTGGCATGCCGGGCATGCCGGGGCCGGGCATGATGGCGGGCATGATGGGACCTGGAGGGCCCATGGGTCCGATGGGCCCCATGCACCGCGACAGGATGGACTTGGACCGCGACAGAATGGCCATGGACCGTGACAGGATGGCCATGGAGCACGGCCGCGGCCCCATGCCGATGCGAGGCAACCCGGGCCACATGGACCCCATGGCGGGGCCCATGGGTGGCCCCGGCCCCCGGCGCGGGCCCATGGACGACAGGAACGGCATGGGTCACAACGGCGACATGATGTTCGGCATGGACATGGGACCCAACATGCTGAACCCCGCCTACCTGAACCGCGGACCCGGCCGCAGCATGCGTGGTGGTCGCCTGGGCCCGAGTCGCTTCGACCAACCCATGCCTGGAGGACCCGGGGGCCCTGGTGGGCCCGGCGGACCAGGAGGACCTGGAGGACCCGGCCACTTCCGCGATGCCTTCGACGGGCCGGATGAAGGCCAGGGCCAAGGCCAGGGCCCCCACAACGACGACGAGAAGGCCCACATGGACAGAATGCGCGGAGGCCACGACCGCGACCGGTCCAGCCGAGACCGGGACCGGCCGAGCCGCGACCGAGACCGGGACCGCAACCACGACCGGGACCACGACCGGGACCGCGACCGGCGGCGCAGCGACGACCGGCGGCGAGGCGACAGGGAGCGAGACCGCAGTCGGACGGACAGAGGCCAGGACGACAGGAGGCCGTCGGGCGGCAAGGACGAGTTCGGCAGGGACTTGGACTTGATGAGGCGTGGTAGCGGCGGCGGCATCCCCGACAAGCAGGAGCCCAACCTGTGCATCGAGGTGCTCAACATGAGCCGCGGTACCACGTTCGCCGACGTGCGGCGCTTCTTCACGGACAAGTTCATCTCCAACTCGGGCCTCAAGCTCATCAACGACATGCAGGGCCACCGCACCGGCATTGCGTACGTCCGGTTCGCCAGGAAGCAGGATTACGAAGACGCTCTTAAAATGGCTGGAATGAAGCTGAGGGGTGAAACTGTTGAAATCCATCCTCTCTCTGACGATATCTTTGACAAGGCTATCGACTCGTATGTCCCCTCTGCAGGTACGCAACATACAAATTCAAATCACGAAGAGAATAAAAGTCAAGTTAACCATGAGGAAGTTAGCCTTTATGTCAAGTGTGATGACTTGCCAGTTAATGCCAAAGAGGACGATCTGAAGAACTTATTCAAGGAATTTCAGTTTGATGCAGTTTTTGAGGAACCTCGAGGAGATTCCACTACAGGGCGTGCCATTATGAAATTGAAGAGACCTGAAGACGTGCTGAAGTTGTTCTCATCATCAGTCAAGTACTGTATTGAGGGTAATGAAATCAAATTGTCCAGCTGCCCTGAGCATGTATTCAGGGAAGCTCTGTCACGGTTAAGACAGAATGGACGTTTGGACCACAAGCCAGATAGTTTTGAGATGCATGACTCTGGTCCCAGGAGCTTGAGGAATGAAAGCCCTGTTGTACCCATAAACACAGATGTTTTGCTTTTAAAAAATTTGCCACCAAATGTTCGAGACAGAGATATTACAGATTTCTTCTCTGACGTTGGGTTAGTGCCTCATAAAATTCATATGCTGCTTGATCCATTCAGGAAACCAATTGGTGAAGCCTTCTGCGAATTTGGGGACGGATTGGAAGCTGCAAAGGGCTTACGTAAAGACAGCACTCACATGGGAAAATTTATAGTCAATGTCAAACCTGTCTCAAGACCAGAAATGGGTGCTGTCCTAGGGCAGTCTATGGGTCAGTTTCCACCTATGAGTCCCAGAGGCCCCTATGGCATGATGCCACCTCACATGATGGGCCCCAATGGTCCGAGACAAAGTCCTATGTTGGGTCCCAATTCTGCCCAGCCTTTCCCTGGAATGCCTCCAAGAAACCAAGACCCTGATTTAGTAGAGACCTTTGGGAAACCTGGTTGTGTCATTGCCTGCGAAAATGTACCCTTCCGTGCAAAGGTTGAAGACATACTCGAGTTCTTCGCTGGATTCAACCTCACTAAAGAAAGTGTGATAAGAAGATTCAATGAAAGAGGATCAGCTACTGGTGATGCTCGCGTTGCCTTCAGCTCTCCGGAAGACGCGCAGGCTGCATTGCTACAATTGAAGGGGAAGAAAATGTTTAATCGACTTGTGTGGATGTCCATTTTGTAATAGTTTTGAATTGAGGAGGCATTCCGTGTGTTAGTTACCTAGGAATTGGCTTTAAATCTAAATAATCATTTGATTGACTGCAGGAACATTTAGTGTACAAATGTAATGATTCATCCTTATGTTATCTGTTGATTATGCGTCTTTTGTGATGCAAACACTTGAAAAATTTTGTTGCCTTTAATAGCTCTTAAGTATTTTCCATCTGGTTTTTGTTTTGTTTTATCAATCTTACGACTTTATTTCTATTAAGCGAAATAGAGAACTGATGTCCTAAATGTTGTTTTGTATTTGTAGGGAACCATTGAAGGGTTAGCAAGCAAAAATACACCTTTGATAAATAAAAATACTAGTTTTATTTAACTTATAAATTATCTTTCCTACACTAATGAAACAATCATAGCATTGTAAGACTAGTTACCACTTCAGTCCTTTTAATTGCATTCACAATTGTTAAACCGGTAACAAAGAACAAGATAATTTGTAGTGTGTTGAAGCAAAACTGTGCATTTGCATGTTACAATGAAGATGCAAGTTAGTTAACTTCAGTCACAGACATAAAAGATATCACTGTGTTTGATGTCTTCATGTAAAAGTGATTTTTAGGCTGTCATAAATTTGAAATGACACTACCTGTAAAACAAGCTTATGGAGGACCATGAAAACAATCACAACATTATGTAAATGAATGAACCCCCATAGAAACCAATACAATAACTAATTAAAATCAGTACAAAAACAAAATCAACCAAAGTGTACAGGGAGATAAACTTAAAATAAATGCACTAGACTACAAAAAAATCACATTCACACAGCCCACTTACCAATAATGGAATGTACAAATAAAATTATGCAAGCGACTGGTACAAAAACACAATTAAAATATGATAACGACAAAAATTGTCTGTCTTTTAGTTCACATAGGATGTTTGTTAACCAAACTAGCCTAGATTTAATGATGAAGGTACATAATAACACTTTCAATAAAAATTTGTTTAAAAACAAAAATCATAATTTCCATTAGTGGTGAAAAATTGATAATACTGTAAATAAATTAATTGTTGCTGATGTTCCTGAAGGGTTTCAGACACCTAGATGTCACTGAAAACAAAAAATACCTTCAACGTAGAAACGAAATCTAGGAAGCCCAATCATAAGAGTGAAAATTCATTTGACCATACATAAATTACTCTTCTATTACTGATAAACCCATAATAAGGAGTAGATCAGTATGATAGGGGACTTAGTAAAATAGAAAAATCTTATGAAAACTAATCTTACTCAAAACAACTACAAAAATGTAAATTAAAAATTCCTCATTTGAAAACTGACTAATCAATCAGACTAATGACTAACACAGTAAGCACACGTCCCAGCCAGTATTAGGTGTTCGAAGCAATATTGGTTTGACGTCGTTTCAAACACCTCATCCTGGCAGGGCATAATTTCATTAAATTATAACAACATGTGCTAAGAAAAAGTTTCTCTAAATCATATTTCATTTTCTCTGGACATAAAGAAATTCATGTGAAACTGAGTGAAGCCATAAGAAAACTACAAAATGAAAGTATCTTGACAGATAAATTTAGAAAACAATAATAGAACATCACATAGTGGCCACATAATTTAAATGAGAATATAATTTTTGTACTACATGGTCCCAATCATGTAAAAGAAAAATGCAAAGGAAGGAAAATATATAAGTTGGAATCGTTAGATGCATTTCATGTCAATGCACTTGTTATCTATGCGCAAGGCGATCTCTGTGGTTCAAAACATAAAGAATATCAGAATTCTCATCAGAGTCTTCGTCTTCTGTTCCACTCATTAAGAGAGCAGAGGCTACTTCTGCTCCGTTTGCTAACAGTGGAGCTCGCATTTCATAATTGAGGCTGGGTTCTCGTGAGGTTGGGATGGATCGAGCAGGTGATGGTGATTTGATTGAAGTATGCACTTTGTGGGCTACATGGGCAGAGATTCCACCAACACACAGTACGAGGCCAATCACATTTATTTGGCTCATACTGTCACCGACCCATTCAACAGCCAGAACAACAGTAAACACTTCCTACAGAGAGGGTAAAAACATTGAATAAACTCAGAAAATGGCAAAAATGTTGCTTGTCCAAAGGGGTATAACTCCAGGAAAACTTACCTTGAAAACTCCAGCAACAGAAAGAGTAAGACTGGACGTGTTGACAACAACTAAATATTCTGACAGCTCCATAGCAAATGCTAAAAGGGCACCTGCTCCCACTTTGGAGGCAGTGTTCAGAACCTGGTGCCCCTGTTGAGAACCATAGAGCAAGCAACTGCTAGCAACTTGAGAACCTAATAAACATACATAAAAAAGGTAAAATGTAAAAATGCAGTCTGTAAATCTGATCTTTCACCTTCTAGTGACAACCAGGAAACAAACCTTCAAAGAATGCCGCAAATGGAAGCACAGATAGAATCATCCAAGGTTGGACATGATACACCATGTCCAAAGGATTTTGATGTCCTGCTTCAGAGTGCTGCATTAAAAGCTGTGCCATGGTCCATCTCACGCCACTAAAAGTAGATAATGAATCCAAGGGTGAGATCCCATCTTAAAAGTAATACAGTACTTAATTTCATAATTTGTTTGTGAGAAGTTAGTACCTTAGGAAAGATGCAATTAAAACTAAAACAAAACCCAGAGTATTAAACTCTGTTGCTTTATATGTGAACATGGATAGACCTGAAGCTATGAGGACCACTATAAGTACAAGTGCCCATGACTGGAAGTAAGAGATGTTCAGAAATTATTACATCATTGTAACAGCTAGTTTTGTGGATAGTGGAAAAGATTATAGCTTTCAAAAACTAAACAATTGACCTACCTTTTTTTCTAGTTTAAATAAAAGAGCAAAAAAGAGTATGAAGACAATAGTAGTTGATTTAGTCATCGTATACCTAAAAAGAATTATAAACTTAGTCATCGGTAATTCAAAGAAATGTTATTTACAGAAGACAAAGAAGAAATATACTTACAATGAAACTCGTATAAGTTCAAGACCCCAATTGGATAGACCAACATCTAGTCCACTACTTATACCAATAGGGGCTAGTCGGGAAATGTATTTTTTCCAAGGAGTTTGCAATCGTGGCCATCCAGAATACCATTCTATGACAGAACGACACACTGCTGCCAGCACAAATTTTAAAATTAAATGGCATAATACTATGGAAAGAGGAAAGTGAAGATCCTAAAGGGAAATAAGATATTGAAACACATGTTATCAAGAATGTAACAAAGAAATATATTGAAACTGACTGAAGTTCTGATATGTACCTGAAGAAGAGCACGTTGATAAAATGTTAGTCCAATTGAAAGGGAGAAATACAAAAGAATGAGACCCAGCAATCGAGCAACATTCCATGTATGCTTAAAACTTAAAATATGTAAGTCATTGGAATTGGACTTCTGAGAACTGGTATCGCTCTCATCTATATGTTTGTGGTGAATCATTTCCAAGTCGTGGGTAACTGACCTTCTCTAAAACAGCCTGGCAAACCTGCGTAGCCTGTTGACAAACAGTGGCATCAAAGATAGCTGATAATTTCAAACACAGCGCCTCAAGGACCAATGAAGGAGTTCCGAGAAAATCTTTTAACTTGACCATAGTGAATCGTTAGACAAACGAGATCATAAGGAAATAACGCAGCATTTTACTCAAGTGGGATATTGTTGAGTAAGTCATACACAAAAGGAAGGGAAGCATTAAAGTTATGGTACAGATAGAACAGATAACTATTGTGTTAAACAAATTCGGAAGCCTCCATCAGGTTTCACACAAGGATCTACGATTTCAATACTCAGTCCACGCAGATTTGATGAAATAACACACCATAAGGTTTAAATGCATCTGAGCAGACGCTTCATGGGCATAATGAATCAAGATATTTATTGGATATTAAAACGCGACCGGTAAGACAAAAAGTAGGCAAACCGAGCAACAAATAAGGTCTTTGACCAAATGTAAGTGGTGAAAATTAGCAATATATCATGGTTGAGCAAGTAGTTTTTGAGTCCACCGTCACCTTCTGCTAGCCTGTCAGTGCCGTTGTCGTTGTGTTGTTGTTGTGTTGTCAAAAACCACTGCCTTCCAGTAAAGTCTCAGTTTATTTTTGGCCGAATACGGACCCTTCAACGTAACAGCTAGAATCGTGAACATTAAACCTTTGGAACATATCGAAATTCAACTCACAATGTCAAAATAAGACTTTTGATTTCACAAAATTTTAATGATAAATTCTTCCTTAGGAAAATAATATATTATATATAGATCTGATAATTTTCCTTGGCCTTCGACGTTGGCATGTCGGACCCTCAAATTGCGCTCTTTTCGGGTCTGCCGTTACCGTTGGTTAAAATCTGGAGTCGTTGTTTGTTGGGGGTGTTGGTTTTACATTCTTAATCCTCTTCATCATATTTTATTTCATGTTGGCGTAAGTATTTAATCGCCCTTCGATGGCTTTCAACCGCCTTTAGTCTTTTTAACTTCCTTACTTCGGGTATTATAATTCAAATCTAGTTTGTCTTACTGTTGTGGTTACCGTCTCTTTGATTTCTCTGCTCTGTTAAACGAATAGAATCGTGATCGGCCCGACAAGCGAGCGAACGCGTTCAAGTTTTACTCATAGTACTAAGATTTTTTTATCAGTCGAATTGTTTTACACGTCATGTTTAACACGTCATGAGACATGTCAATCTCGCTTGGTCCTTCGTTGGCGACTGCGTTTGTGTCGCGCGCCGGGCCTATCACGATTCTGTTCGCTCGTTTGCTCACGCGTCATCACTGAACCTGTACTAGAGAAGCCCTTGGTCTTCACATACTATTATTAATGAGTTCTACTACGCACACGTTGTGTTAATGGTGCTTTTCCTATCTTTGACTTGTGTAACTTTTGTTCCGTTACATTGTTTATCTCACTAGTTTCACTTTATCAGTATGTCACTAGTGTCAAGAGTCGTTTATTCCCTCATGGTATTTTTCTTTTACCTGCTTCTGCTTTTCTTCACCTGCGTTTTTATTTATTTACAGGCCTGGTTTTTAAAACATGGTTTCACGACGGAGGAGCCGAGCCAAACCTGACACGTCAGTAGAAGAAGACGGTTCTCCAGAAAATACGTCACCAACTACATCTCCCTCTAAACCTGGTCCTTCCAAGAGGAGGAGCAAAGGTGCCCCTGATAATGATGACGAAGGATCGTCAGCATCTCCTCCCAAGAAGTCCAAAAAGGATTCTGCCAAATCTCCTGAAAAGAGAACAAGAACTCCTAAAGGGAAAGGTGCTCAACCTGAAGAAACGGAGGAAGCCGAAGAAAGACGTGGCAATTTTGAAGAGGAGGAGACACATTCTGATGAAGAAGGGGGTATCCGTATAGGGGATATTTACATCCCGCCTCCACCCCCAGCCACAACAGGTGTTGATCTAAATGGTCCTCGCCTCATCATTACACATATAGAGAATGAGAATTTCAAAAGTTATGCTGGCAAAACAGTGTTAGGTCCCTTCCACAAGTGCTTCACATCCATTGTTGGCCCAAATGGCTCCGGCAAAAGCAATGTCATTGATTCCATGTTATTTGTATTTGGTTACCGAGCATCCAAGATTCGCTCTAAGAAGATCTCTGTTCTTCTTCACAACTCCGATGAGCACAAGAATGTCACTAGTTGCACTGTCGCTGTGCACTTTAAACTTATCATTGACAAGGTTTGCTTGAAATCTGGATGTACTGGTTATCAGTTATGATCTTTGTTTTACATCAGGTTTCTATTGTTTCCAGCCAGGTGATAGTTATGTGGAAGTACCAGGGTCAGGAATAGTAATTGCTCGTACTGCATTCAGAGACAACTCTTCTTACTACACATTAAATGGGAGACGAGTTCAGTTTAAGGAAGTAGCAAAGCTTTTGCGAAGTCATGGTATTGACTTGGATCACAACAGGTTTTTAATTCTCCAGGTAATCCTGTTTTATTATTCCTATTTAAAAATTGTGGTAATTGTTTGGTTACTGTTTAAATGTTGTCTCATCCTTCATTCCAATAATGCTCATACTGTCTTTCTGCTTTAGGGTGAAGTTGAGCAGATTGCTTTGATGAAGCCAAAAGGCCAAACTGAACATGACACAGGGATGCTTGAGTTTCTTGAAGATATAATTGGAACTTCTCGGTTTAAGGTATGTTGTTCATTTGTGTTTTATTTTCATCATACTATAGACAGGGTTCTCATTCTTTATCTTTTCCATCAGGAGCCAATTGAAAAATTAAATGTGCTGGTTGAAAACTTAAGTGAAGAAAGGACTGAAAAGCTGAACCGTGTAAAGATGGTTGAAAAAGAAAAGGAAGCCTTGGAAGGTCCAAAGGATGAAGCAGTTAAAGCACTGAAGCAGGAGAATCAATATTCTTCTGTTATGCACTTGCACTGCCAAAAGTACATGTAAGTCACAATTCAGTCTATCCTTATCAATTGTGCAATTGCTTAAGCCTTTTATTTCATTTGTGTGATTCATGTGTCATTTTGTTTGACAGACGGAAATTAGATCTGGAACAGGAGAAAATAGAAGAAGAAAAGAAAATCCTGAGTGATGCTATCAGTAAGATAAATGAACAGTTGCAGGCAATCCAAGCAGAAATTAAAGAGAAAGGAGGGTCCTTGAAAGGTGAAACAAAGTAAGTTGACTTTGCTCTATTTTTACATGGTTACAGCCGTCTTCATATTTATGTATTTTCTTTTCCTTTGTTCAGACAAATAGAGAAGATGGAGCAACAGAAAGCTGCTCTCAGTGCACAGTTCGACAAGATAAATGCCAAGGACGTCCAAATTCAGGCAGACATCCAACTACGTAATAAAAAGCGAAAGAAGACACAGGAACAGCTAGAGGAGGAACAGAAAAAGGTAGGTATCTTTCTAAGTTCTTTAGATACTCTTACGAAACTTGAAAAACTAATTTTTGTTTTTGTTACTTCTATGTCTTCAGCTGGTTGAGTTGGAAAATCTGCCAGAGAAGAATACAAAAGAAATAGAAGAATTGAAAGCTCTGGAGCCAAAGCTTATAAAGGAACAAGAGGCAGAGCAGAAACAAGTAGAGGCAGTCATGGCAACTATAGCTACTGAGGCAAAATCTTTGACTGAAAAGAAGGACAAGTTACAGAATCAGTTGGTTGGTTTAACTGAGGCCTCAGCTGAACAGAAGTCAAAGGTTTGTTCTATTAAGTATTTTGAGTCCGCTTAGTTTATTGGTGTTTTCCCTTTTTTTGTTTTAAACTTTTAAAATTATTTGGCTTTTAGCTTAACATTGCTCAAAAAGAGTTAGATCTGTATCTTAAGAATGAAACTGATGCAAAAAAGCGGTATGAAGATCTCAAATTATCCTATGATGCTCAAACAGAGAAAGTATCTGAGTCTGAGAAAGCTGTTGCAGAGTTACCGCCTAAGATAGAGCGAATGGAAAGAGAAGTAAAATCAATGAGAAATGACCTGGCCAAGGCCAATGCTGATATAGGAAAAATTGGTGATGAACTTCGTGAGAAGAGGTAGACAGTCTATGATTTATGGCATATGTTTTATATATTTACTTGGCTTGAACACTCATGAATTTTTAACTTTCTTTCTGTCTTAGAACTGCATTTGAATCAGTCCGGTCTGATCGGAGTGCCAAAATTTCCCATAATGCAGTTCTGAATTACCTTATGGATGTCAAGCGCAAGGGAACATTGCCTGGCATTATTGGTCGGCTGGTATGCTTTTTCAAATAATTTTTATCCTTTGCCTTATTTTCTTTAAAAAAATTTGCTATGAAAGAAAGGCACTAATTTGCAATGATTACAGGGTGACTTGGGTGGCATTGACCAACGTTATGATGTGGCAGTTTCTACTGCGTGCCCCATGCTGGACCATATTTTGGTTGACACATTAGAAACTGGAAAGAGTTGTATCAAAATGCTGAAAGATGACAAAGTTGGAAGAGCCAACTTTATAATCTTGGAAAAGCAGGAGCATTTTAGAGCAAAAGCTAATACTCCCTTAAACACGTAAGACCCTAATTACTCCACTAAAATTTTAGTTTGCTTTTTCATTCCTTTCTTTTTCTATGTATCTGTCCACTGTCGAACCTGTAAACTTTTTGTTTTCCAGACCTGAAAATGTTCCTAGATTGTATGATCTTGTTCGAATTCGAAATGAAGATCATAAAACTGCTTTTTACTTCGCTCTAAGAGACACCCTGGTAGCTCAAGATCTAGAACAAGCAACCCGGATTGGATATGGTCGAGTCCGGCATCGAGTTGTAACCCTAAATGGAGAAGTTATTGAAACATCAGGTGCGCTTTTGTTCTTTTCTTTACCAAACTCATTTCAAATCCATTCCCTTTATACTCTTTGTACTTCATTGTGGCCTTATATTCCAAAATCAGTTCTCCATTGTTATCTTCTTTTACAGGCACCATGTCTGGAGGTGGTAGGAGTCAAATTCGAGGTAAAATGGGCAAAGACTCAAGATCAGATGTTGTGATGTCGGATGCAGAGTTTCGCGAAATGGAAGAACGAGTAGAAAGACTTCAAAATCGTGAAAATGAATTGCTAGGGAAAATAGGAGAGCTAGAAAACCGAATCAAAGGCCATACGAGGCAAATTTCTGCTGACAGAGATGCTTTGGAGCTAAAATCACTAGAATTAGAGGTAACATTACCCTTTCTGTCCTTGCTTGATTTGAAAAAGTGTTTGCCTTTAGTGAATGTTATCTTGTGTTTTGTTCCAAGACAATATCAAAACATTTGCCAGAAATTGAAGAAATGATGAAAAAGCAAGAGAAGAAAGTGAAAGAATCTGTAGCAGATGCCAAACAAGTAAAGACATTAGAAGCTAAAATATCTGCTATTCAGAAAGGTAAGTTGATCTCTGCCATATGCTGTAAATTAACGTTTTTAAGACTTACGTCAATGAAAGTAACTGAACCATCCACAATTTAATGACTAAATAATTCAAATAATTCAATTTTTTTTACAGATCTTGATAAAGCAGAAGAAGCTGAAGGGAAAGTTTCAAAAGAAGTGAAAACTCTCACGAATGAGATAGAGAAACTCACAACGGGTCGAGTCCGCAATGCTCAGAAGAAATTGGATGAGGTCACAACCCGCCTTGACAAAATTCGTTCAGAAATTACGAAACTTGGCGTTGCAATAAAGACATCAGAAAGGCAAGTGATTAAATATATTTTAGGTTCAAATAGAGTATCATACTTCAATGGATTTTTTAATAATACTTTTTCTAAATCAGGAATGCCAAAAAGTCAAGTGACAAAATAAAAAATCTTACTCAAGAAATTCAGGACATGAAAGAGACTCTTGCAAGCATGGTTGATGAAAAGAACAAGATAACCGAAGAAGCTTCCGAAGTTTGCAAAATGATGGAATCTATTAATGTGAGTACTGCCTTCTCTAATCTCTGCAAATTTTATCTCAGTATAAAATATGGTTCCTGAACAAACATGTTGGATTTTGTTAACTTTAGGAGGGCTTAAGAGAAAAAATGGAGCAGATGAAATCAAGGAAAAATGATGTTGATGAGATTCGCCAAAGAGAAACAAAACTATCGGGTGAAAAAATGGATGAAGATCAAAAACTAAAGGTTATTCAACAACGATTAAAGGAAAAGAAAACTGCAATGGAGTTCACAAAACAGAAGGTTTGTCTGTCAAAGTCCAATGTAATGTCATAACTCCCCCTTTTGGAGCAATAGCTCTTGGGAGTTAAATTGGTACAAATAAAATAAAAAAAATAAAAAAAAATCCTTAAACAGTACTCTTCTATTATTATCAATTATTTATGGAAGTTCTCTTCTTGTAAAGGGTTTAATTGTTCACAAAACTATTTGTTCTACTAACGTATTTTTTTTTGTTTCAAATGCTTTTAGATGATGAAATTAACACTGCATGTCATACCTGGAGCTGAGAAGGTGGACGAGTTTGTCATAAAAACAGCTGAAGAATTGGATCAATTAAATGTTGATAATTTACAATATGAGGTTGCTAGATTAGAAGGCATTGTCAGTAAAAATAAGCCTAATATGGGAGTGATTGAGGAGTACAATAGAAAAGTAATGAAATAAGCTTTTTCGTACTTTGTCCAATTATTGTTGCCTTTCTATTTTATAATGCTATTAATGCTGAACTTTTGTGTTGTGTTATTATCATTATACAGGAAGCGCAATATATCCAAAGAGTTGGGGAGCTTGAAGCAATTACTGCCAAGCGAAATGAAATACGTGCACATCATGATGAAGCCAGAAAGAAACGGCTATCAGAGTTTATGGCTGGCTTCACCACTATAACTGGGAAATTGAAGGAAATGTACCAAATGATTACTCTTGGAGGTGATGCAGAGTTGGAACTTTGTGATACTCTGGATCCATTTGCAGAGGGAATTGTTTTCAGGTAATTTGATCTTGCTCTGTACGTATTAACTCCCAAGAGATGCCTTTTCATTTAATCTTGTACTATTTCTCTCTGTTTTCTTTTCTTCTAGTGTTCGGCCTCCAAAGAAAAGCTGGAAATGCATATCTAACTTGTCTGGAGGTGAAAAGACATTATCATCTTTGGCACTTGTGTTTGCATTGCATTACTACAAACCCACTCCTCTCTATGTGATGGATGAAATTGATGCTGCCCTCGATTTTAAAAATGTTTCTATTGTTGCGAATTACATTAAGGTACTGTTACTCATCCTACCTTAATTTTGCTTCCTGTCAACATGCAATAGCACCTATTGAATTGTTGCCTTTTTCCATTGTAGGAGCGTACTAAGAATGCCCAGTTCATCATCATATCTCTGCGGTCAAACATGTTTGAACTTGCTGATACCCTGGTTGGAATTTATAAAACATACAATGCTACAAAAACTGTAACGATAAATCCAACCCTATATGTGTCTCATGGTGTAAACAAAGCTGCTCAAGACAATGAAAAGGTTTGTACACATCACCTTGGATTATTTTCTTCTTACCAACACACCTTCACAATTTTTTGATCTTGTTTTATTTGCAGACTCCACCGCGTCGAGGTATGTCTTCTCCAGAGCCTGCTATGACAAGAGAACAGCCCTTATCGCCAGTACTACCTGATCCAACATCAACACCAGGTTCTCCTATATTAGGAAGTTCCAAGACCTGATGTGTTTTGTTGTCTCACACATACTGTATTAACAGTTAGCCTTCACCTTAGAGCGTTAATTATTGATTGTTTATAAAAAAAATTTCAATTTTTCATTTTATAATAGGATGTGTTTTTCCTTGACAGTACGTGGTTTATATATTTTAATGAATGACAAATAAACATTGGTTTTGAACTACTACTCTCATTTAATTGAAACACCAATTTGCTTACGAATTTCATCTTGAATTTTTGCTATGGTAATGGATTCTTCATGCATCATCTTGGGACATTCTAGGAGACCTGTTAGGAAATAATATGGTTTCAGATACACACTTGGAACCATAAAACATGAAATTCTTGTTCAGGTCTAACAACCCTCTGTTTAGATTACTGTACCTTGTCGAATGCAACGCTTAACTTCATCTGCTTCAAATCGCAGTCCTGAGCTATTTCTGTTAAAGTAGGGATGTGCTCCTGGTGGAAGAGGGAATTCCTTTGTCTCATTTCCACTTACAACCTTTGTCGGGCACCAGAAGGGGTCAACAATCTGTAGGCAACAAAAACCACAATCATTTCCGGATTTTCTTTTGTTTTAAAGAAGAATGAACAATGGTCGCACACAGCGCACCTTGATGAAGCCCTTGGTGCCCCAGATGACGGCGTCGTTGTTCATGTCGGCGAGCGCGGACGTGCCCACCATGGCCGTCCGGTTGCCGGGGTACTTGAGGACGACGGCAGTGGCGTCGTCGCAGCCCGTGTTGTTGACGTGGCCCACGGCGCGCACCTCCAACGGCATGCGGGGGCCGAACACCATCAGCACCAGCTGCAGCACGTACACGCCGAAGTCCAGGACGGTGCCGCCGCCCTGCGACTTGGTCCTGCGCCACCAAGATGACGGTCCGGTCAGGCATCCCGCTCCCTCACCTTAATCCCTCATCCACGGCCCATTGCTCACCTGACGCGGGATCCCTCGGGGAAGTGGATGGTCATGTTGGCGTTGACCTGCACGATGTCGCCGATGGCGCCAGACGCCAGCTGCTCGCGAATGTACTCGTAGGCGGGGAAGAAGCGGCTCCACACGGCCTCCATGAAGAAGCGCCGTTTGCTCTTCGCTAGCTGCGAGTTGCGAGACAAGTTGACAAGTTAACTTCTAGTGTAGGCCGCTGCTGCTGGAACTACTTGTTGGCTGATGCTTACCTCCACGAGGGCGATGGTGTCGCGAGAGCTGAGGGTCAGGGGCTTCTCGCAGAGGACGTGCTTGCCGTGCTGCAGGAACATGGTGGCCATCTCGTAGTGGTTGGTGCACACCGACCCGATGTACACGATTTCTGCAACGACACCGCTCACCTTACACCAAGTCCACGTTTGGCCTACTTTACAGGTTCAGATGCGATGGACTCACCGACATCCTTGTTGGCTGCAAGCTCCTCGTACGAGGCGTAGGCCACGGGGATCTTGTGCAGAGCGGCGAAGTCCTTGGCGCGCTGCATGTCCCTGGCCGCCACGGCCACCACCTGGTGGTCCCCGGCCGGCAGGGTGCCCATGGCGGTCAGGAAGTCATGGCAGATCTGCCCTGCGCAAGCCACGCCCCAACGCAGTGCCATTTTCCTGTCTTGGCCTGTTTTACAGTGTCAGTGCTTTCTCTCGTCGCCGTGCTTCGCGGTGCTTCGACGAGAGTGGGCTCAAGTATTCCTTGCCGAAGCGAAAGCGAATGCCGCACTGAGAAGCCGTGAGGAGACAGGCGCCCTTGACGACGGACCGGGAGTTTCGACACCGACACAGCCTCTCGAGAAGCCGCAAACCATCAACCAGAAGGCCAGCGGGGTCATGCGTCACGCTGCAAGGGCTGGCACGGGGAACTTGCCGCGACCTCACCCCATCCCCCACCACACCCCCCGCCCACACAGTGTGTAGTGTTGTTTATGTCCGATGCGATAGACCGTGATAGGGGCGCCCAAAAATAATCCAGAGGGGTGTCCAATTGTTTTTTTGTTTACTTTCAACGACAAACTGATAAAACGTATGGTGAGAGTGGCCGGGAAAAGCAGTGAGAGGCACTTGGCGTTATCGTATCGCTGCTTTCTCTCTTTCTCTTTTCTCTTTTCTCGATATCAATCGTGACCCCAGCACCCCGCTGTTTGGACACAGCCACAGCGAGTGGGAGTTGGATTGGGGTTCTCTTAAAGATCATAAATTCTGCATCCGGCGCTCAGTTTCTCCAACTCTACACCGCCGCTCGCAGCCTAGCCCTCCCTCGTCTCCGCCATGGCACCCCTCAACATGGAAGCCCTGCAGTTCGACCGCCAAAGCCAGACGCTCAAGCACACCAAGGTGGCGGTGCCCACGGCCGCGGACAAGCACGAGGTCATCATCAGGATCGCGTACGCCGGCATCTGCGGCACCGACCTGTCCATCATCGCGGTAAGCTCTCGTCGCCGTCGTCGCCACGTCGACGCGCACCTCCGCGCTCCCTCTCTCACTGCTGGTTCCGCTCCTTCTGCTGCAGGGGCGCGTCCCGTGCAAGACCGACCCCGTCGTCCTCGGCCATGAGATGAGCGCCGTGGTCGTGGAGGTCGGCAGCAACGTGTTCCACGTGTCCGTGGGCGACCACGTGGTGGTGGACCCCAACCGGGCGTGCCACACGTGCCACGACTGCACCTCCGGCAACTACAACGTGTGCCCCGTCAGCCCCTGCCGCGACACCGTGGGCATTATGAGGGACGGCGCCTTCGCCCAGTTCTGCAAGGTGCCCGCCGACCAGGTGTACAAGCTGCCCAAGGACATCTCTTTGAAGCAGGGTAAGGCAAGCCCGAGGGCAAGCCGGCCGGCTAGACTCGTTCTTCGTAAAAGTTTGAGGGCTCCGAGCCTAACGGTCCGTATCTTGGTGCAGGTGTGCTCTGCGAGCCCATGTCCTGCGTGGCGCACTGCTGGGACCGCCTGAGCCCGGTGGCCATGGGCAGCAGCATCCTCATCACCGGCGCCGGCATCATCGGCGTGCTCTGCTGCGTGTCAGCGTACCACCTCGGCCACCGCGAAATCTACATCTCCGAGTTCAGCGCGGGCCGCAGGGCCATTGCGCAGAAACTGAGTGAGTGCACTGTACATGTCTCGCTTCGAGCTCCTGGGAGACTCGCTTTTTCCGGGGGCTGAGCAGCGCGCAGAGCAATGAACACTGTTTGAATGTTCGGCAGACATCGAGGGCCTCCACGTGGTGTCCCCCGACGAGCTGGCGGCCAAGAAGGCCGCGGACCGCAACTTCGGCTTCGACGTGGTCATCGACTGCAGCGGCGCCATCCCCGCCCTCGAGTCCGGCTTCGAGCTGCTCAAGCCCCGCGGCAAGCTCATCGTGTTCGGCATCGCCGCCCCCGACGCCAAGATGAGGTGCGTGCCTGCCCCGAATCCCATTTTCCGCCGCACCAAAAATTCTACAAAGACGTGCGTGATAAAGCTTTTAATGGATTCTTTTATTGGCCAACAGGGTTTCCCCCTACGAGTTCTACAGGAAGGAACTCACCCTGCTCGGCAACACCATGAACCCCTACACGTTCAACAAGTCTATCGGCTACGTCAGTGGGATGAAGGAGCTGTAAGTTTGCCTACCACTTTGCTATACCCGATAACCGTCTACACCATAAATGGCTTAGTGCCACATCTATTCGTACAGTGAATTAAGTGCAAACATATACCAGGCAAAAAACTTTCATAGCCTGATTTTTTTTTAAATTTTTATTGTCCCGAATTATACGTAATATGGTAAATTTCTTAGTAAGACTTTTAGAGCGTAGCAGCTCCAACCTTGAACCTTAAGCCTTCTTGAACCTTGCCTTCAATTTTTTCCCGTGGCGTTGCAGGCTGGACTTCGACAGAGTCGGCGTTCGCGTGTTCAAGCTGAGCGAGTACGAAGAAGCCATGGCCGCGCTGGCGAAGGGCACCATCAGCAAGGCGGTGTTCGAGATCGGCGCTTAGTTCCCTTGTTGCTGTGATGTGTCACTTCACCCCCCCCCCCATTTGTAAATATTTCGCATTTTCAACACTACGTACTCGATGTAACCGCGCATTTTTTTACGTAATAAACCGTCTCGTAAAATAAGGTGTCTTCTTCCTTCCACCCCACGGCACGCCCGCCGGTTGCAGTCTGCACACACACACAAGTTTTATTATCTTTTCGCTGCCTTTGTTCGGTTTCCTCGCTTTTGTTTAAATGCGACAGATAAACGCACCACGCCACGCGCGTCGCGTCTACGCAACGCGCAAAGGCGGAGGCGCGGACCTAAGCGCGTTCGCACTGCGCGGCACCGCCCGCCATGCAAACAAACAAAATCGTCCAAACAAATTTTGTTCCGTGCAGACAATGACAATCACGGTTTGCCGACCGAATTTTGTGCACAATCACTGGGTAATATTCTCAGGCCGCTCTTAGAGAAAGGTCGCGTGGGAGGTTGCACGTCGCACGTCATGATCCAAACAAAGCTTTAGATAAGACGGGCCATACCCCGACCTCACGCGACGCCAAAGTGTGCAGAAAATTATCAAAAACTTGACGTTAAAAAAACGATAGGTGAACCCGATAGTTTCAGGAGGGACACCCATGCGGAAGGTTTGCGCTGCCGTCGGTCATAAACTCTCCAGATAAGATCGCTCGGTTTACGGACATCGTACGCTATATTTACGGGTGCGTAGGATGTCGTCATGATGGCATCATTCTAAACCCGTCCTCAGCGTCCTGCGCGATAAGCACCTCGAGAGACCCGTGCAGCTTCCTAAAGATCCTCGCCAAAAGGGGTGGAGCCGGGAGCGCCTGCCTGCATAACCCCCTCGGGGGGACGGGATAAAGTGTCACCTTAGTAAGGGTGGCCGTGTCTCGTTTTGCAGTGCAGGCGGGCATGTGTCGGGCCCGAGAGGGCACACGGTCATGTGTGGTCCAGCCCTTAATGGTAATGGTAACGGAGGGTAGGCCGCTGCGAGACAGGCGTGTCGGCGTGTGGCCTGCCCGCCGGGCGCTCCCAGGAGGCGCTCCCTTGGCCTCGCAGTCCTCACGACGGAGGATTTCTTTCCATTTTGTGCAGTGCTGGGTTTCTAGACTAGCTCCACGATACTAGGGTCGATGGCCACCTACGGTCCTCGGCGGGTCCAGCGCCGTCCACCGCTATACAGAGCCACTACTCGCAGGCCGAACCCGAGGACCAGCGAGTGCGTACTTGCTGCAAGCGATCGTCGCAACATTCTTTGGTTCACGAAAACGAGCGCGAACTGGGTTCATCACCAGCTTTCACTTGTGCGTCTGAACGAAACGCGAGTACAGGCCCCGCGCCCCGCGCCGCCCGGCGGGCGGGTTCGGGTTCTCGCGCTGTGACGCGGCTGGTCGCATAAACGCTCCCCCACCTGTCCTGGAGCCCGCCAAGCAGCGCCAAGCAGGTCCTGCCGCCGACTTGTGACTCCGCAGTGACAGTCGGGTGGCGCGGGTGGAGCAGGCAGCACCCACGGGACCCACAGCACCCACAGGACCCCGCAGCACCCACGGGAACCCGCAGCGCTCACAGGAACCCGCAGGAACCCGCAACACCCACAGGAACCCGCAGCGCGCTCCGGCCGCACCATGACGGCCACCACCACGGTCAGCGCGTCCGGGAAGGAGGCAGCCTTAAAAGAAGGTGAAAGAGAAATACAGACATGTCTAAAAAGTACCGTTTGAACAAAGTGAAAGTAAGCAAAGTTTAGGTCTGTAGCTGTTTTGATGGATTTTCATTACGGACTCAGGTGAAAAACAAAATTTAATGATGCTTTTAAAAACGCAATCTAACGTTAAAAAATGATTTACCTGAGTGTAAGCTTGTTTGCGATTTTTAGAAGAAGTCGGGTGTTTCATTCGAGAGGAATGTAGTGTTCCGTTAGTGTTGTGGAGGCTCGGCTCACACCTAGACGGTCTGACGGTGTGGCGGACGCTCTGGTTCGGCGAGCGGGACATGCGGCGCCGCGGAGCCATGCGGAGCCATGAGTGGTCGCGGCGAAACTTGAAATTGGCGTGGGACTTACTGGGGCACGCCTAATGGCCCGCTGCCTGCAGGAGCTAGTCCCAGCCAGTCCAGTCCGGCTCGGAGCCCCAGTCGGCCCGGCGAGGTCGGGACGGACAAGTACTATAAGCGCCAAGTCGCTAGCATCCATCACCTGCAATACCGAGTACTGAGTACGACCGGGCCGGGCCGGGCTCGACGTGTGTGTGTGTGTGTGAGGGAAAACGCTGTGTTGGGAACTCCCGGCTGCCCCCGGCCATTAGTGTATCCACCTGCAGCGTCTGCAGTGTGCCTGCAGCCGGCGCCTCCGGCCCGCCCATGATGCGGGGGCGTTGCCGGCGACAGCCAAGCCGAGCCCAGCCGGCAGCGGCAACACGCAAAGCAGTGCCACGAGCCCCGCGCTTAGCCCCGCGCGAAACAAGGAGATGATCGTCGTGGGCCAAAGCGGCAAAGGCCAAAGCCAGCCCGGCGCCCCAACCGGCATCTCATTGTTTACTCGTTGAACCGCGTTGAAGCCCCTGTGGCCTGTGGCGCCGCCGTGACGAGCTAGAGAACCAAATCCGACCGGCACGAGCCGTCGCGGTCCTTATCACGCCAATCCGGCCTTATCGCGTCTGCATAAACAGCCAGGTTATGGGCTAGCCCGGGCCGCCGCGGCGCTACCGAAAGCCGGGCCGTGGCGACGCCGGCCTGGAGGGCCTGGAGCGACTCAATGACACGACGGCGTCCTTTTCCTGGTTCCAGCGGGCGGCCGCGGCTTCGGCCGGCGGCACCTGCAGCTCATGCTGCTGTCCATGGGGTTGGCGCTGGGGTACTGCTGCCGCATCAACCTGTCCATCTGCATCGTGGCCATGACGTCCGCGGAGTCCGCCAACGGCTACCCGGTGTACGACTGGGAGCCCAAGTACCGCGGGCTGGTGCTGTCGTCCTTCTTCTGGGGCTACGTGCTAATGCAGGTGCCCGGCGCCACGCTGGCCAACCGCTACGGCCCCGCGCGCTTCGTGTTCCTGGGCGTCACGGGCTGCGCCGTGCTCACCTGCCTCACGCCCTTGGCGGCGGCCTGGGGCGGCTGGATGGCAGTGTGCGCGCTGCGCATGCTGGAGGGCCTCTGCCAGGGCGTCATCTTCCCCTCCGTGCACTTCATGCTGGGCCGGTGGTCGCCGCCCGTGGAGCGCGGCCGCGCCGCCGCCATAGTAGGTCTCGGGGCGTGGTGGCATGGCCAAGTCGAAACCAGAGCACGCTACTACACTGCCTCGCTTGCCGCAGGTGTTCACGGGCCCGTCCATCGGCACGCTGCTGGCCATGGCCGGCGTGGGGCTGCTGTGCGGCTCGCCCTTGGGGTGGCCGTCGGGCTTCTACGTGCCCGGCCTGCTGGCCCTCGTCTGGGGCGTCTTCTGGTGGAAGATGTCCGCCGACTCGCCCGCCAAGTGCAAGCACATCGCGCCCGAGGAGCGCGAGTACATCCAGATGTCGCTGGGAGACTCTTCCAGCAACGACAAGGTGGGTGAACTGACGGCCTGGTGGTGTGGCGGTAGCCCCGTCCGCCCCGCAGACTGACGCCAGTGTGTTGCATGGTGTTGCAGCGCCTCAGCGTGCCCTGGCTCGCCATCATGAGCACGCCGGCCATGTGGTCGCTCATCGCCGTGCACATGTGCAGCAACTTCGGCCACTGGCTCATGCTCACGCAGATGCCCACCTACATGCAGACCATGCTGCACTTCAACATCGAGGACAACGGCATCATGTCCAGCATGCCGTACCTGTGCCTCGTCCTGACGTCCACCCTGGTGGGCTGGGGGGCACAGCGCGTCAACGAGAGCGGCTGCATCAGCATCGTCATGTCGAGGAAGATCTTCAACTCGGTCGGTACGTGGCGTGGGGCGTGGGGGTGGTTGGCAGAGCCGCCTGAACGGCACCCTCTCCAAGTCGAAGTCTCGCGCGGAGACCTGAATGCGCTCAGAGACCTCCGATCCGAGACCGAGACGTGCTCTCCGTTGCTCCTTGTGGGGGTGCGAGAGAGACAGAGCGACGAACCAGTGTTCGGAACTAGCCTGCAGGCAGCCGGCGGGCAGGAAGCGGCCATTGTCGCTGCGTTGGCGCGGCCCTGGCGTGATCTGGCGCTGTTACAGTGTCACACGTGCTGTACCGCGCAGGCACTCAGACAGGGCAACCGCCGTCCAGCATCGGACTGTACTCCGAGTCCTGCGCGCTGCGCGGCGGGGCCCTTCACATTGGCCGTGGCCCCGGTGGCCTCGCCCGGAGCGGCGGCCGGCCGGTCACGTGCCTCTGCGTTGACGCCGTAGCGGAAGTCCGCGGGAGCAGACTGGGGGCTGAGTCCACCCCTTGAACCCCAACTTGGTTGCAGGGCACTACGGCATGGGCATCACGTTCCTGGTGCTGTCCTTTCTTACGCCGATCGGGATTCCCGTGGGGGTGGCCGTCGGCCTGCTGACCGCCGCCGTGTCCCTGGAGGCCGCGCTGCTGGCCGGCTTCCTCGTGAACCACGTCGACCTGTCGCCCAACTTCGGCGGCGCCATGCTGGGCGTGTCCAACGGCCTGGGCAACATCATGGGCATCGTGGCGCCCATCCTAGTCAGTCTGGTGGTCAACCAGACCCCTGAGTCCACCCCGGAGGTAGGTGCCGACCGCCGCCTTGGCCTTGCCGGCTCCACGGCCTTCAAGCTCAGTAACTCGGCAACCCCACCCCCAGGATCTGGCGACGGGCTGGAGCCGCGTGTTCCTCATCGGCGCCTGCGTCTACTTCTCCGGCAACACCGTGTTCGTCTTGCTGGGCCGCGCCGACGTGCAGCCGTGGAACAACCCGGAGAAGGCCGACAAGGCCGAGAAGCTGGAGAAAGGTAATGGGGCGGCCGACGACCGGGCGGCCGGGGCAGAGCAGAGCCTGTTTTGGCCCGACTCGTGCCTACGTCCACCTTGTCAACCCGTTCAACTTGCGAGTGGACAGAAGTCGCACGGGAAATATGGCAACTCTGTGCCGGACTTGCTGCGTGATTACGTACATCGTACATGCAGACTCACGCTACCATTGCCTTTCCGCGTTCCCTTCACGCGGCACGAGTTTCGGGTTGCGCTCAGCCAATCTGTCCGGACTCGCTGAGCGCATGCTGAGCGCGCGGCGCGGGCAAAGCCGCGACTTTGGAGGAGCACGTGGACATTAATTGTGGGAGAAAAGACGAAAAGACGGACCGTCGGAGCGACACTCCGCCCCAATCTCTGTGTCTCTGCCACTGCTACTTATCTTGTTCCAGGCGAGCCGACCGAGGCGCTCGAGCTGCTTCCTCCAGACCGCAATGTTGCGTAGAAGGTTTGGTACTTGTTGTTTTCCAGATTGCGTGTCCGTCCGTCCGTCCTGCCTGCCGAGCCATTTTGAAGAGTTTTCTCGTCGCTCTGTCTCTCTCGCACCCCCTCGGGTCGCGCACCGAGACAGAGCGACGAGACGACCCTTTGGAATCAGACTGCCGCCGCCCAGCTGCCAACAACGCCTTTGTGTCCGTCCGGCTGATGTGATGTTTGTCTGTCGCGTTGCCTGTCAGTGTGTTTTATGTCTGCCTACCGTATCGTCCGCAATGCTAACGCAACTTCCAGTGCCTTGTCGCGACGCCGCTGCGTGCGTTTCGCCGCAGAAGCTAATGTGCTGCCCATTTCGTTGCTTGCCCCACTCTGAATATTGCACATGGATCAACGACTTCTACTCCACAGGCTCTGTCGTCGAGGTCGTCACGCGCTTGTGAGCTCGGCGGGGCCGTCCCGGCGGGGGCGGGGGCGGGCCTGCCGCCGGGCCGGGCCGGCCGAGGGTTGGTTGCCACCCCCCACCCCCTCGACGACCGCCGCCGCCTCCGCCTCCACCTCCCCGCGCGCCTCGCGTGCCACGTCGACCTCCGCGGGCCGCGGCCTTGAGGGCCTTGAGGGCCTTGAGGGCCTTGAGGGCCTTGAGGGCCTTGAGGGCCTTGAGGGCCTTGAGACGCGGCCCGGACGCCCAGCAGGGATCTGGCGTGTTTGCCGCGGGGATTTCCTGCCAGACGCGAAAAGACATGTCTGTTGGTGGGCTGCGAGACGCGTCGCCGCCAGGACGCCGAACACCGCTTTCGGCGCGCTGTCTCTCTCGCACTCCGCGGCAACCCCTGTGAAAGCGAGAGAGACAGAACGACGACTGCCGCGCGCGGCATCAGCTTTGCAGAGAGACTGCCCGGCGCGCCGCGCTTCACGAACATTGGCTGTGAATTACTTGTCCGTCACCATGTACAAAACACCCTAGGCTAGTTTATCTATTAAATCAATAAAAGAGCTGTTTTTGTAAAAAATGAGATGCAACTTCGCACCTTCGTGACACCCACCGGACCTTCACGAGAACACTCATGAGTCACCTTCAGCGCCTACAAACATCGGGGACACTTTTACAGCCGGTGCGAGACTTTCGGGAGACAGCAGGTAGTCGCGGAAGATAGTCCGTCCTGATAAGCGGTAGCAGGATTCAGAGATACACTCAGCTTTGAATCGCATCCCGATTTTTATTGTGCCTACACTAGTTATAAATAAGCAAAAAGGGCGGCGCTCAGGGCGGCGCGTCGGCCGGCTCCAGCAGCTCGATGGACACCGACTCGGAGTTGTCGAAGGCCGGCACCACGGCCGGCATGGGCTTCTCCTTCTGCTTGGGCACGACGCGGACGATGGCGCGGCCGCACGACACGGCGCGGTTGTTGGTGAACTGGAATCACAGAGTCGAGTTGAACAAGAAGCACACTCTGGACGCAGCGGACCGGAGCACCGCCAGAGGCGCGAGGGGTCCTCGCCCCGAACCTCTCCCCGAACGCCTCGTTCAATAATTCAATAATTGCGTGAAGGTCACACGCCGCGTGGGCCGTTTAGCGCGCCAAGCGACGACGCCGACACCCCCACCCCTTATTGATCGCCAACTTACATCAAAGATTTGGTTCTCCACCTTCCACCGGCCGTAGATGAACTCCTTCAGCATGCCCTGGCCGCCCCGGTTCTCTATCGTGAAGTTGCTGACGTCCACCCTGATCTGGAAAGGAAGCGCGCGCACTGCTGCAGGTACTGGGGATGCGACTCGACAGTGTAGCGTCACCCCTGGCGTTACGTGCGTTGGTGCACGGGCTTACCGGCGGGAAGGGGCACTCGGCGTTCTCGTGGCCGAACAGCATGAGGGACACGCGGCGCCACCGCTCGGGCGCGAAGTTCTTGGCCATGGAGCAGCCGCCGCGGAACGAGTTGCTGTAGTACGTCACCCAGCTGCCGGGGAAGGTCCACAGGGCGAGCAGGACCTTCGCCTGCCACAGGGAGGCCCGGCTTGTTGAAGGGAGAGACACGCTTCGAGAACATGGCCGCCGCCCCGCCCCGCCGCCGGGCTCGAAGGCTCCCGATTGGCCGTAGTGAGCGGGCCACCAACCCGCCACGCCGGTCGGTCACGTTTGTGTCGGCTCCGTGTTCGTCCTTGATTTTTGGTGGTACAAAGTCGGTTTTCCGGGTCGAGTGTGGTATTGGTCGGTCCGTGTTCACCCAGTGCGTCGAGGGTTGAAGTTTCGCGACGATCGGAGCATCAGTGTTCGAGTTTTGTGCAAATTAGTGTTCGGCCCTTTGTTTACACGGCCTGCAGCGTCCCTCCGCTCGCACATGTGGCAACGTGTGTGCGTCGCAGCGTCCCAGCCCCAGCCTCCAGCCGGCCCCGCTGGCCGGCCCACCCCAGCGCTCAAGCCCCCCGGCAGGCCTGCTGAGGGGCAGCGGTACCTCAAGCAACAGTGACCAGTGTCCAGCCGGCGTCAGTGTCCAGTGCCCGTGTTGTGAAGATCAGTGGTTTTGTTCTTTGTGCAATCGGATCTAACAAGTGTTCGACGGTGCAGTGGCCGGGTGTCGCCGCTCACCAAGTGCCGTTCAGCCATGTTCAACGAATCGTTGCGTAGAAGGTTTGGTACTTGTTGTTTTCCAGATTGCGTGTCCGTCCGTCCGTCCTGCCTGCCGAGCCATTTTGAAGAGTTTTCTCGTCGCTCTGTCTCTCTCGCACCCCTCGGGACGCGCACCGAGACAGAGCGACGAGACGACCCTTTGGAATCAGACTGCCGCCGCCCAGCTGCCAACAACGCCTTTGTGTCCGTCCGGCTGATGTGATGTTTGTCTGTCGCGTTGCCTGTCAGTGTGTTTTATGTTTGCCTACCGTATCGTCCGCAATTCTAACGCAACTTCCAGTGCCTTGTCGCGACGCCGCTGCGTGCGTTTCGCCGCAGAAGCTAATGTGCTGCCCATTTCGTTGCTTGCCCCACTCTGAATATTGCACATGAATCAACGACTTCCTACTCCACAGGCTCTGTCGTCGAGGTCGTCACGCGCTTGTGAGCTCGGCGGGGCCGTCCCGGCGGGGGCGGGCCTGCCGCCGGGCCGGGCCGGCCGAGGGTTGGTTGCCACCCCCCACCCCCTCGACGACCGCCGCCGCCTCCGCCTCCACCTCCCCGCGCGCCTCGCGTGCCACGTCGACCTCCGCGGGCCGCGGCCTTGAGCGGCCTTGAGACGCGGCCCGGACGCCCAGCAGGGATCTGGCGTGTTTGCCGCGGGGATTTCCTGCCAGACGCGAAAAGACATGTCTGTTGGTGGGCTGCGAGACGCGTCGCCGCCAGGACGCCGAACACCGCTTTCGGCGCGCTGTCTCTCTCGCACTCCGCGGCAACCCCTGTGAGAGCGAGAGAGACAAAACGACGAAAGCCGCGCGCGGCATCAGCTTTGCAGAGAGACTGCCCGGCGCGCCGCGCTTCACGGACATTGGCTGTGAATTACTTGTCCGTCACCATGTACAAAACACCCTAGGCTAGTTTACCTATTAAATCAATAAAAGAGCTGTTTTTGTAAAAAATGTGATGCAACTTCGCACCTTTGTGACGTGACACCCACCGGACCTTCACGAGAACACTCATGAGTCACCTTCAGCGCCTACAAACATCGGGGACACTTTTACAGCCGGTGCGAGACTTTCGGGAGACAGCAGGTAGTCGCGGAAGATAGTCCGTCCTGATAAGCGGTAGCAGGATTCAGAGATACACTCAGCTTTGAATCGCATCCCGATTTTTATTGTGCCTACACTAGTTATAAATAAGCAAAAAGGGCGGCGCTCAGGGCGGCGCGTCGGCCGGCTCCAGCAGCTCGATGGACACCGACTCGGAGTTGTCGAAGGCCGGCACCACGGCCGGCATGGGCTTCTCCTTCTGCTTGGGCACGACGCGGACGATGGCGCGGCCGCACGACACGGCGCGGTTGTTGGTGAACTGGAATCACAGAGTCGAGTTGAACAAGAAGCACACTCTGGACGCAGCGGACCGGAGCACCGCCAGAGGCGCGAGGGGTCCTCGCCCCGAACCTCTCCCCGAACGCCTCGTTCAATAATTCAATAATTGCGTGAAGGTCACACGCCGCGTGGGCCGTTTAGCGCGCCAAGCGACGACGCCGACACCCCCACCCCTTATTGATCGCCAACTTACATCAAAGATTTGGTTCTCCACCTTCCACCGGCCGTAGATGAACTCCTTCAGCATGCCCTGGCCGCCCCGGTTCTCTATCGTGAAGTTGCTGACGTCCACCCTGATCTGGAAAGGAAGCGCGCGCACTGCTGCAGGTACTGGGGATGCGACTCGACAGTGTAGCGTCACCCCTGGCGTTACGTGCGTTGGTGCACGGGCTTACCGGCGGGAAGGGGCACTCGGCGTTCTCGTGGCCGAACAGCATGAGGACACGCGGCGCCACCGCTCGGGCGCGAAGTTCTTGGCCATGGAGCAGCCGCCGCGGAACGAGTTGCTGTAGTACGTCACCCAGCTGCCGGGGAAGGTCCACAGGGCGAGCAGGACCTTCGCCTGCCACAGGGAGGCCCGGCTTGTTGAAGGGAGAGACACGCTTCGAGAACATGGCCGCCGCCCCGCCCCGCCGCCGGGCTCGAAGGCTCCCGATTGGCCGTAGCAGAGACGGGCGGCAGCGGCCATGCTCTTGAATCATTTCTTCCTTCTTATTCTGGTCAACATCTCTATTGCATTCACTTCTCGATACATTTTGAGGCCGGCCAATGTGGATGCCAAGTTGCTCGCGCCGTTGAAAAGCCGGATGGGATGCCTACCTCGCGGGCGGAGCTCACGCCAAGAGTGCCCCGCGGAATGGTAAACTCAAATGTGAACGGCTGCTTTGGCGCGAGCCGGGTGACGAGTGCTTTGACCCTCCAGACACACCCACTGGACTGACCCACTGGACTGACCGCTCACCCCCAGGTCGTCGGACGTGTTGTAGTTGAAGCTGCCGCGGCCGTTGATGTGGTAGCGCTTGGGCACGTCCTTGTCCTTCTCCACGCTGCCCCAGTCCATCTTGGCCGCGCCCACGCCCTGCTTCTCCCTCTCGCAGAGCTCGGCCTTCTCCAGCTCCACGTCGAACGGGCCCTGTGGGAAGGGCCCGGCTCAGTATGGCAATTTGAGAGGTGAGGCCGCGCTGGGCTTGGACGCCGTACCAAGCCGTACTCACCGCGACGCCCTTCAGCTTCAGCCTGGACTCGAGGTTGTGCGGCGGCACCACGGCCTTGGCGGCGGACACGCTGGCGGCGTTGATGTAGTAGTGCACGAGGGCGGCCGTGGCTAGGACGCCCAGGGCGGCCCCCACCGAGCACCGCACGCCCGCCCCGGACCTTGGCGAGCTGCCGGACTGCGCGTCGCTGGCCTCGGCGGCAGCCTCCGGGGTGTCGGGGACGTCCTCCTTCACGTCGGCGACGTGCTTCTCCACCGAGGCCTCGGCGGCATCGGGGGCTGGCCCCGGGGGCCGGGCCTCGGGCGCGTCGGCGGCGGGCTGCTGGCTCGCGTCCATGGCGGACTGGACCGCTGGACCGCGCGGCCCAGTCCGCACCGGCTCCAGGATGCCGTGGTCGCCATGGTCACGATCGACTCATCGCTGCGCGGGCACTGTCACGGGCTCGCGTGGCGGCCTCTCCTATCGCGCCATCGACGTCGCGTTCGCTTCGGTCCGCGTCACGCCACGCCACGCCAGCCCGCCGCCCGGCCCGACCCAACTCACCAATCCCCGAACAAAAAACGAACGTACTCGTGTACGACTGAGTGCCTTTTGTCTCTCCAACACGACATTTGAGCGGTGGGAATGGACTATTCCATTTCCGGTCATTTGGAATTGACGAAACGAGCGAAAGCTACTACACGGAAAATCATTTTATTTACAAAAGTACATTTTTCAGACAGTGGCGATTTAAAATCACAATGCAGCAACAAGTGGCTCGAAGAAACAGTAACAAAGTTGAGATCCTTGCACATTGCACAGCAGGTGCAGAGAGACAGAGACAGACTGCATGACAGCGCGATAAGGCCACAGCGCCCGGGCGGTGCGCAACCCACACGCCCCGGGTGCCGCGTCGGTGGCCAACCCACCAGGCTCACCAACCCAGCGATTCCAAAGTCTCGTTTCATCGCTCAGTCTCTGTCGCACTCATGCGGCGTTCCGTAGGGATGCCAGAGAGAGACATACACAGAGGGACAGGGCGACAAAACGATCCCACAGGATACACATTTTCGTTGGAGTCCCGGAATAAATTACTTTCATCGACGCGACCAGCGAATCGATGGCCGCAGTGGCATTAAATATGAAACCTAGAGAAACGCGGCAGCGTGCGCGAGCAAGCCAAGTCTGGCCGCCATGATTACGTAATCATTACTTTTCATTTAATTAATTATTACGTAAAGTTTCGATTTCTATCATGTTCTAGAACAGTAGGTAACTTTAGGTATGCGCTCGCCCAGCCTCATTCACCTTACAAAATAGTATAAGACGCACGCACGCAAACATTCACTCACACCAACCCCGCGGAGGGGGTCCTCCTTTCATTCAGGTACAGACACGAGCAGCCAACAGGACGTTTTGGGCGTTTGCTTCACGGTGTCAGGGGCTTCCCCATGTACTTCTGGTACAGTCCTTCCCAGAAGGCCTGGCGCGGGTACAGCGGGGCGCCGGTCTTTAGCTCCAGGTCGCTGCCGATGTCCATGAAGGGCATCGACGTTTCGCTGCAGGGCGTCCACTTGATGGGCAGCTTCTCGTCGGAGCCGGCCGGGGTGGGGTTCCTGCAAGGGACAGTCAGGGTCAAAATGCAGAAGGGCTCGACGGACGACGGAAGCGTTTAGATAAAGTGAAAATGAGACTCACCCCGTCTTGGCAAAGTTGGTCCAGAAAGTGACCATCCGCTCTCGGCAAACCTCCTCGCGGCTCGTGGCCTCCAGGCTGGGCAAGGGGAACACCCGGATGTTGGACACGTACCAGAGGTCGTCGCCGTGCGCCGCCCCTGCAAGCGCAAAGCAAGCATGCTCGGTGGTCAGGGCGGCTTGGTTCCCGGCACACCCAGAGATCTCGGCGTTCACGTTCACCCACCTTTCACTGGAGTCATGGTTTTGCCCATCTTGGACTTGGTGAACCACTTGAGGCAGTTGTAGCGGCCAACGAAGTCGAAGTGGTACACGAACATGGGGGCGTTGGTGAAGCCGGCGCCGGCAGCAGCCTTGGTGTGGTCGCGGGCCAGGTTGACCAACCGAGTCTTGAAGAAGACGTCACCGAACAGCTGCAAGGAACACGGTAGCGTGAGCGGGACGCCGCAAATTTGAAGTTTCTCTCTTCCCTCGCGTGAAACAAACGAACTTACTTCGATGAAGCCGCCGACGGATTCCTGGGAGAAGGGCTTGCCGCCCGTGTACTCGTCCAGGATGTCCTGCACGCACTTGTCGCGCTGCTCAGGGCTCAGGGCCTCGCGGAGGTCGGGCGGCAGGAAGTAGTACTCCATCTCGTTGATGCTCTTGTAGGTCCGGTCGTCGTGAATCTTGCCAACTGGAGCAACGGGGACGCCGTCAGTGCTTTAATCCGCGAATCGCCCTCGGCGACTGTCAGCCAACGGCGGCAACTTACGCAGCACCCAGACGAGGCCCTCGGCGCTGCACACCCCCGTCATGAGGGGCACGTCGCTGAACCTGCCGGCCCGCACCAGGCTCAGTGGGTCCTCGGTCTGGAAGGCGCCCGGGTGCTCCTCCTCCACCACGGGCAGCCACATCAGCTCGTCCGTCATGGAGGTCTGCGACAGGGACACACTGTAGCACGCTCTAGAGACCCATCGCCCAGCGGGCAGAAGCAGGCGGCAGCACTCACCATGACGGGGGTCATCGTGCCCGCCGCCGCGTTCAGCACCACGGGGTCCACGGCGCGCAGCCCCTTGAGCAGCTCCTCCGGGGTGGAGCCCGGGACGCCGAGCTCCTTGGCCAGGCCGCGCGCGCTGGCCACGGCGTTCTCCTTGCCCGAGGTGGCCCAGTGGCTGATGGCCAGCCCCGAGCTGGCGATGATGCCCCTGAACAGCCCTACGCACCGCCACGTCAGCCAACAAGGAAGGCTAGGTCACGCCTGTCTGCTCGTCGTTCCCGTTTCCACTCACCCTTGCACGTCGGGGACAGGGCGAGGTGGTGCACCGACGCCCCGCCGGCGCTCTCCCCGTAGATGGTGATGGCGGAGGGGTCGCCGCCGAACGCGCGGATGTTTTCGTGCGTCCACCGCAGCGCCAGGGCCTGGTCCTTGAGCCCCGCGTTGCCCGGCGCGTCCTCCGTGCCCAGCGTCAGGAAGCCTGCGAGCACTCAGAGGTCAGAGGGGGCCGTCCTGGTCGCGATGGCAGCGGCGCCCGCCAGCAGAACACCCACCGAACGGGCCGAGCCGATAGTTGATGGTGACGACGAGCACGTCCTTCTCCAGGAACAGCTCGGGCGACAGCATGTCCGCGTTGCCGTCGCCGAACTTGAAGGCGCCGCCGTGGACCCAGAAGATGACGGGGCGCAGCGCGTTGGCGGCCTCCTTGGTCTCGGGGGCCGCGTGCACCTGGCCGCCGCCCGGCCTCCACACGTGCGCGGGCGCGGCGGGCCCGCAAACGGGCGTGTACACGTTCAGGAACAGGCAGTCCTCGCTCTGTTTTTTGCTCACCATGTAGCGGTTCGCGAGGGCCGGCAGGTTCTTCAAGAGTCCGTAGACAGTCTTGAGGCTCTGTGATAATGAAAATGAGTCAGCCATAAGCGATATGGTGGTTTTTGTTCCGACGGGAGGACGTGTAGAGGCTGGGGTACTTTACCATTCCCCCGGGGGCCTCCAGCGGCATGGGCGCCTGGTAACAAGGGTTGCCCTCCGCAGTCGCGTTCCGGACGCCAGTCCACGGCTCAGCGGGCTGGGGGGCCTGCAAACAATAAGCAAGATGCAGGCACGCAGACGCCGCCATACGTCACGGCGAGTTGCTAAAACACGAGATGCTGTGTGTGCGACTGCCGGCAATAACAATCCCGCTTGGCCAACGTTGCGTTACCTTGAAGCGCAGCTCCCCGACGGGCGGCTTGCCGTAGGGAATGCCCTGGAAGGCATGGTAGCGCACGCCCTTCGGGGTGAGCCCTACTTTGCCGCGAAGATGGCCCGTCTTCACCTCCACCTCCGGGACTGAAAAGAGGCGCCAAAGAAACGTTCCGATTAGCCATCGAGAAGGAGGCGGGCGCCATAATTCGCAGCGAACAGGCCAGAGAGCGAGGCGAGATGAGTCTTTTTCCGCATCAATAATGACACGACGACTGCATCAAGCGACATGCGACTGCAGACGGCTTCATTTTAGGCATTGGCCGACCCACGCGTTCATGTCTGCGCGTCCAGGCGCGGCGCTGACGCCAACACGTGCCGAGCGACGCCGTGAGCGCGACGCGGGACGCTCCCATGCCCCAAGTACTCACCCGGCGCCGACCAGCCGAAGCCCATGGTGCTTCAGGTGTGGAGGACCGCGACGACCTGGGCAGCGGAGTGGTCCTGCCGGGACACAGACAACACGATCACTGCGAGGACGCGTTCTTCGGCCGAGGTGTGGGCCGCAGGCGCAGGCCGCACCGCATGGCGACGCGTCAGAAGTGCCTCTTTTTATTCGCGCGGCTCGGGGATAGATAAGCAGGGCTCATCCACACTCCGAGCACGCGGCCGCGCGGCCGAGGACTAGGCACTGCTTCACCTGCTCAGATTAGCGCGCGGAGCCTGGCGGAGCCTAGCGCCTGCCACGAGCCGGGTGGGCAACCCGCGCGCAGCGGTGCGCCCTGGACGTCGGATTGCCTACCGCAAGGCGCTCCAGCTCCAGAGACTCCGGAGGCTCCAGCAGCGGCAGGAAGGAGGCGTTGCCGCGTGCCGGCGTGCCGCCAGCCGCGTGGAGCAGCCCGGCCGGCCGGTGTGTGGCGCTGGGCGACCTTGGCCTGCCTTGGCCCGGCCACTGGACGGACTGACGCAGCCTGCCGGGGACGGCGACGCGGCGTGTCGCTTCTCTATTTTGGCGCCTGGAGTGCCAATTGGGCCTTTGGGACGGACTTTGATCCTCCGCCACGGCCAGCGCACTGTCTTGCAGTTCGCACTGCTGTGTTGCCGAGACGCCGCCGCCGTCCGAGCGACGACCGCCCACCGCGCCTTGGTCAAGGTTGAAGGGGCGCAGGGCTGTAGTCGCATTCCGAACACTGCTCTGTCTCTCTCGCATCCTTCGACACGCCCCCTATGAGCGAGAGAGACAGCGCCGAAAAGCACCGTCCCGGGAGGGCCATTTCCTTACGAGCCATTCCCGGCCATTTCGTTTATTGGCAGGCCCGCTTTGCCTGACTTTGCCTTCTTCGGCCCGCTGCCGGTTTAAGCATCGTTTCCGAAGCGACTTTGACTCTGACGTTTCGTTGCTCTCCGCTCCGAGGTGCGTGCAGGGCAGTGCAGGGGGGCGGCAGGCACGGCACGGCGTGCTAGCGTGTTGTCGAACGTTATTCACCGTATTCCCACGACACCGATTATTGGGGCGTCGCAGTCGCACGCGCTGCCCCGCGCTGCCCACCACATTCACATCCGCTCTGCAGACAATATCGACTTTCAAAGCCAAAGCGGGGCAACCTCGCCGTTTAGAAATTTCAAGGGAGCCGACCGCGCAGAATGTGAGAGTGTGACGTCTTCGGGAGAGACGCATGTACACAAATGACCACAACAACTACTGTGCTACCTATCTCAGCAACTCGACGTTCTGGCGTAGTGTCAACAGAAACGACCCTGTCCAATAGGGTACCCCAGCGATTTCCCCTCCCCCACACCCAAGCGGAAGTCGATACGACACAACGGAAGCTAGAGTGGACACATCAACGAAAAATATAGCGCGTAGGGCAGCTGCCGCTGCTGAGACTAGAACTCGCCCGCCGCGTAAAATTCTCATAGATTTGTCATTGTTCTCGACAGCATTGACAACTCAATGGAGGGTTTCGCACACTAGACGCACATAGTATCGACGGCTGTGCCCTTACCTGCGCCATGCACCGGTTGACACTCGGCGACGCGACGCGCGACTTGTCACTACACGCACTGACAGCGGCCAAGGCCCGAGACCTGAGGCTGCCTGAGGCCTGCTCGGCAAGAAAGGCGAGATAGACAAGAAGTAAGAGTGCGCACTGTTGCAGTTTGGGCGGGGCGGCGGCGCGGGCCGCACGCTGACCAACAACCGCGAGACGAATGGTCGAATGGGGCACCGCCGTCCCCGCCGTCACCGGCACCACAACCACAACATTGCCTCACCTGCGAGTGGAGTGCTTCCCGGCAGCGCCGCGGCGGGCGCTTGTGTCGGTCTGTCGTTTCTGAAGCGCGGGGCGCTAGCTCTGCCGCCGGTCTGGCCGTGTGTACTAAAACCCTACCCCATCTGAGTCCACACTACGAGACGGGCCGCGGCTGGCGAGCTAGCGGCCGTCTCATGCTCGCCGGGTGAGGCGAACCACACCACACGGCCCGGCCCGGCCCGGCAAGGCTCGACCCGTCAATCCTGCCTCCCCCCCCCTTTTTCCCTCCGTCCGGTTTACCTACTCCCACTCCCCTTGCATTCGCCGCGCGAGTTCTAGCAGCACGGCCAGGCGGCCACGGCCGGTGCCTCCCCAGCCCAATCACTTAGTCCATCTCCGGGTGAGCCACGTGCGGGACCCTGCAAAAGCATGGGGTCATTCCTGTGGAATTCGCTGATTGCGATGACTGTCCGACGCCGTCCGTTTTAACATGTTGCTCAAACTTTCGACCGAAAAAAGGTTTTCCTAACCTTGTTTTCGCTTGCAACTGCAAGCATCTATCAGTGGAAATGATTAGAAACAAGCACGGAGGACGGAGGCACGCCACAGCACAGCAAATTGTCGTGACCAGCGAATGGCGTGTTTCGGATGGTTTCGGACTGGTGAGGGGTTGCCCATGCATGTCTGTGCACTACCAATCATGTGGCGCTTTGTTTTATTCATTTCGTCCGCCGCACCTGCAGAACCCTGTCCGTCCCGATAAGCCGACACAGTGCGGCGTGCGCGATGCGCGATAGCGTCCGACCGGCCGCGACGGCGATAACTGTGGAAGGTGCAAGGTCAAGGTCGAGCCGGACCTTCAGACGGACAGCCTCGTCTTCCGCCGATAATCTGGTGCACGCTGCACTGCCTTCGCACTGCTTTCGAAAGCGTGCATGGGTCGAAGGTCAAGAAATAGCCAACAGTCTAATTTAAGATTGATTTATTTGCTGCTTTACATAACCGTGCTTACCACTGCACGTAATATTATCATTACTCCAACATAAAGCATACAGGACAGAGGAACATGAGGCACGGAGTGCAAGATGATGATGCTGAAACAGATCATAGCGACAGTGTGCGACGTACTACCACGAAGGAAGAGAAACCTCACAGAAAAAACCTCTTCACGAAGAGGTGTGAAAACGAGAAATATCACAGAGAATGAGCACGACTCAATCACGACTTTCATTTGTCATAAGCGACGTGAACTGAGCTAGGAGATACAAAACTAAAAACTTCGGACCCGAAAACGAATCAACTGAACCTTTCAGTTTACTCGTCACCGAGTGACGATCAAAAGTCATTAAAAAGTGAGTTGAGCGCGCCACCTAGCTCACGGGTTGGGTTGCATCCGGGAGTTTGTGGCGTCCGGGGCGAAGTCTACATGTGCGTGAAGTGTCGAGTGCTGATCGAACCAGAGCCAGAAGGGACATCAGGTCCCAGGCGCCCTCAGGGCACCAGGTCCCTGTCCAGGAAGTCCATCACCATGTCGGCCAGCGCCTCGGTCGCCTCCTCGCCGCCCATGTCCAGCATCGACGCCATCAAGGCTTCCCCGCCGTCCCTCGCGAAGGTCTCCTTGATCTCCTCGATGTCCACAATCTCCTCCGGGGGCAACATCATCTGCGGCAGGAAGAAGCTGCAGATGACGTAGGCCATGAGGGCGTGGCGCCGGAAGTCCTCGTGCACGCCCTGCAGCGTGGGCATCACTGTAAGCATAGAAAGAGTCAAGTTACTAGTCTTCCGGGTGGGTGGGCCGGTCGGGTTGGCCACGAGAACGAACCGAAATCCTTGTCGATGGGGTGGCCGTCCAACAGGCGGTCCAGCGTGGCCTTGAGGCTGCCGAAGTACTCGAGGAACAGGTCGTCCCAGTGCTCCGCGCGGAGGGCGGCCGACGTGTTGAGGAAGATGAAGAAGGACAGGTCGACGGACGGGGAGCAGTACCTGCGACAGTCTTAGTTTCAGGGAGCGTACCTCGGCGTTGCCGCCTTGCGCACAGCCCTGCCCGCACGCCGACGTACCTGGAGGTCTGGAAGTCGAAGAGGCAGACGCCGTCGGCGGGGCCGTCCGGGCCGGCCTTGCCGTAGTGGAACGCCATGTTGTTCCTGCAGAAGTCGCCGTGCACGATGACGCTGGCCGGCTCCTGCACCGCGACGGCGGCCTTCATGACGGGGAACGCGTTGTCGGCGACGGCGCGCATGCGGGCCAGCCTCTCCAGGCGGCGCTGGTGCCTGTCCTTGTCGCCGTCCTTGGCGGCCTTGAGGCGCGCTTCTGCCCTGGTCAGGCCGCGCAGCATCGGGCCCTTCACCTTGGGGCCCCACATCTCGTCCCAGGCCGGCGTGAAGTTGGTCTCGCGGAGCAGGGGCACCATGGTCTCCAGCAGCTCCCTGCGGCACCGCGCCTTGGCCGCGTACGAGAAGGCGTGGAAGCGCCCGATGGCCTGCATCGACAGCATCACGTGGTTCTTGTCCAGCACGCAGCGCG